AGATGTTCCATTAGTTGGCATAGCATTAAAAAAAAAAAACTATCATAATTACAAAAACACAGAGATTTAAAGTTACATTCTGATTTTAAAGATGTTTAATGGGGTGCCTGGCTGGCTTAGTCGGGGGAGTATGTGACTCTTCATCTCAGCATTGTAATTTCAAGCCCCATGTTGGGCATGGAGCCTACTTAAAAATAAGAAAAATAAAGCATGTTTAAACATGAGACTGTGTGACCCCTGGAATCAATGAAATGTGACATCTGGATTTTGAAGGGAGCCTTCAAATCAAAGGTGATGCCTTAGTGACTCCAGTGAGGGAGTGTCAGGCATCCTGGCAGGTTGGTGGGGCAAGAGGTTAGAGTCAGGGGGTGATTTTTTTTTGCCGCACATATCTCACCATGTAGTAAGCTGCCTATCCATCTATGGAGTGACTTTGGGTGGGAAGACCCAGTAGAGAACAACAAAATAAGACATAAACATAAAAGCATGTAAACAAAGGAGTAGATCTGCCTGTTGCAGGAAATCTACAGATGTTCTATAATGCTGTATAAATCTCATTGATCAGAGAAGGCAGAGAAAGCCTGTCCCCATGGAGTGTTCTGAGAAGAGTCCACAGTCCATCTCTCTCTCTGCTTAGGCCTCTGGCTGAGGCTGGAGACCTGAGTTCTAGTTTTTGCTCTGCTGCTTTCCAGCTCAGGAGCCTAGTGATCTAGGCCCATGATTTTCAAACCTTATCCTCAGTGCTGGAGCCCCTCAGATGAGGGATACACAGCCCTTGGGCTTCAATCTGAACAGCTCTACTTTAACCTGCCTTGGCTATTAGATGCCTGTGATTTCCTATTAAAAAAAGAAAAAGCTTCTCCGCTAAAAGAAAGCTTGAAAGTCATTGCCAGAGACAAACCCTACACCCTCTTCTACAGCTAAAATCCTCAGATTTATTATGTCCCCACTCCAAAATGTAGGTTATGGAGAAATACTAGAATATTTGTCCTTAGATAACAGCATCAAGACAAGAGAGCTGTCTCAGCCCATTCAGGCTGCTGTAACCAAGTACCATAAACTGGGTGGCTTATAAAGAACAGAAATTTATTTCTACATTTCTGGAGAATGAATCCACCTAGATCGAGGTGCCGGCATGGTTGGGTTCCGGTGAGGATCCCGTTCCAGGTCACAGACCAACTTCTATCCTCACATGGCACAAAGAGGGTGAGAGAGCTCTCTAGAGTCCCTTTTTAAAGGACACTAATCTTATTCATGAGGTCTCCACCCCGATGGCCAAATTATCTCCCAAAGACCCCAACTCCTAACACCGTCACACTGGGAGTTAGACTTTTAACATAAGAATTTTAGGGGGACACACTCAGTCTATACCTAGAACCAAGGGTAATTTGTGTGAGAATTTCGACCAGTGGTTTCCTCTTCATTATTCCTATCGAGATCTCCCTCCCTTGTAAGTGACCCTTTGCGATCATTAAGGAAGGGAGTTGCCTAGTATATGAGTTTCCTTAATGGCTGCTGTTGACTATATTACTATAAACTGAATGGCTTAAGACTATATAAATGTATTATTTTATAGTTTTGTAGGCTAGAAATCTGACATGGGTCTTTCTGGGTTAAAATTAAGGTGTTGGTAGGACTATATCTCTTTCTGGACACTGTAGGGGAGAACTGTTTCCTTACCTTTTCCAGTTTCTGGGGGCCACCTGTATTCCTTGGCTTGTAGCCCCTTTCTTCATTTCCAAAGTCAACAGTGGGAGAAATGAGTACCTTTCACATTACATTTCTCTGGTCCTCTTCCATAGTCACACCACTCTGATTCTCTTCCTCTGTCTCTTCCTTCCACTTTTAAGGATCCTTGTGATGACATTGATTCCATTAGGATAATCCAGTATAATCTTCCTATTTTTCGATCATCTGAATAAAAACCTTAATTCCTCTTTGCCCTGTAATTATATAATCACAGTTTCCAGGTATTAGGATATAGACCTCCTTGGGGGCCATTATTCTGTCTATGACACCTGGACATAGGTGTGATAGTGGGACAGGTCTTGTGAGAATCAGAAAAGAGAAGTGATACAAAAGTAACCACAGAGCCATAAATCCGCCTATTTTGAGTTATGGCTTATCCCCTATTATTGCTTGATAATGTTTATTACACAAGGGACCTAGAGAGTAGCAAGCGAGTATTTCACATGGGATTGAGGTCACAGGTTGGATTCCCCCAGATGACAGAGATTTCTATGCAGGTCATTTATTCCGGAGTGCTTTTGGGATCAACACCTTTGGAAGGGAAGGGAAGTGAGAAAGATGTTTTGGGCAGAGAGAGAAGTTGGTTTGCAAAGCAGTCTCAACAAAGGCCTCAGCTAATCTTCTAGGGAGCTTTGAAACTGGGGTGACCAGCTTTTATACTCATGCTGACCAGTCATTGGATGCCCCGGAAAAGGGGTTGTGACCTTGGTGAGGCCTCTCAATACCCAGAGGGACTGATAGCCTAGGGCTATCCGCAGCAGCTGGGAAGAAGTCCATTACTTCTGGAGGGGAATTGGGGTGGTGCATGACAATGCCCCCTACAATTGGACTGAGGACTCTAGTGTGGGATGGTTATCAGTGAACTGGAAGAGACTCTCCAAGGCTTGGGTGTAGGGGAGGGTCCCGGAATAGGGAGAGTGTATGTAGGAAGAGATGTAGGGATTTGCCCAGCCAGGCACAGAGTCGATTCAGAAGGGATGTTTCTCAATTGCCTTTCTGCACCCTTATCCCTGCAAGAACCTTAGGCTCCCTGCCCACCGAGGGCCAGCTTGTCTGCTAGTCACCTCCAGCTCTGCTGGAAATGACAGATAGAACAAGTGGTGGCGATAATTGGTCTGAAGATTCTGGACAGTGAGTAGATTTATACAGAGTAAACAAGAAGCTGGCCTGGGCTTTGGCTTGATTTCTCACTCCAGAAACCCACACACTGACAGCAGAGTCAACTCAGCGATATTAATGTGCCTTGGCAGCTGGTGCACATGGTGGCTGTTTGGGAGCATTATCCCAGGATCGCAGGTTATTACTCTTTGTTACCTTGTCATCTGTAAGAGGAGGGATATGGTTATTGATAGTGTGTGGATTTTTGAATTATTTCACTTCTCCTAGAGTGAACTGTCTCTCCTATAGGCCTTGTGACACTTGGCCTCCATTGGAACTCTCTGCAGTGGCTGGGAGTCAAGATTAACCTTAGGCATAGGCGGGATAGGAGGTCACCCACTCAAGGTCACCAGAAAAACTCTCCTACCCCCAAAGAATTTGCCAAACTTGCTTTGGATGCCTGAAGGCCCACCATTAGGCTTTTTGATTTCAAGCTCTGGTGCTGGGTTAAGTGTAGATGCTCTCAGAAAGGGTAACGACATCTCAATGGAAGTACATTTTAGAAGTTTTCCTGAAAGAAAATCCTGGAATGTAAGTGGTAGCATTCCAAGTGCCAAAGGCTCCCATGTAAAGCCATTTGGCAATAATACTGAGAGCCTTTACAAACGTTCATACCCTTTGACCTAGTAATTCTACTCCTGTGCATTTAACCTAAAGAAACTGGTCTAAATACTGAGAGGACTTTGTACACAAGAATGTTTATCTGGAATCATTTATAATGAGGCAACTTTGGGAATGTTAACTTTAAAAGTCAGTTATTTTACCAGCAAAAATGGACTTGTTCAGGAATAAGAGAGAATTGCAATTCAGGACATGCATGCTGTGACAAAACCATAGGCAAGCCCAACAAAGCAAAAGAACAATTATTTTATGGAGAAGAAGGAGGAGGTTGGGAGGGGTTGTTTTGAAGGAAAGCCCACTGGAGGAAAGCCCAAGTCCAGGGTGATGACAGTGTCTCATTGGCTGAGTTTCAGGGTAGTCCAACTCTTGTGGGAGATGCAACCTACACCTTTCCCTGTTGGAACCTGTAATTGATGACTCTTTACTGCAGAGGATTCTTCTGTGGGAGTTTATAATTGACAAGTCTTCCTGTAATTGACCTGAATGGTCCCAGCTCTCCCCGCTGTGCTCTCTCTCTCTCTCTCTCTCTCTCACTGACAAATAAATAAAAATCTTAAAAAATAATAATAAAGTGGAGTGGGGAGGGCAGAAGGGGAAGCTAGAAGGGGGAGTGGCAGGCAGAGAGAGAAGCAGGGTCCCGGCTGAGCAGGACAGTGAGTAGCCCAATCCCAGCACCCTGGGATCATGACCTGAGCCAAAGGCACACGCTTAACGGACTGAGCAACCCAGGGGGGCCCCTCCCCACTCCACTTTAATGAAGTTTCCTTTCATTCAATTTCCCAGGAACCACTTGAATGTTGAACATTTGAAAATGCTCTGGTAAATACTAGCATATATACCCAATGAAAAAATAGCCTGTCATTAGAAATGATAGGGAGTCTGTAATGACATGAAGGACATATTTGTGTTATAAAAGTGAAAATGACCCTGCATTCACATTTGTATGTGCATTTTATCACAGCTCTGTAAAAATAAAGCCGTATACATACAAAAGGAATGAAACCAAATATATGCAAATAGCAACAGTGATTTGCTTGGTGGTGAAACTAGAGGAGTTCTTAAAATCATTTTATCATCCTCAGGATTTTCAAAACGTGTGGCGGCTCTGTAATACTTCGGGAAGGCGCTGGGGTTTTATTAAGCACCGTGCATGCAGGTGGCCTGAACTCTCGGCACCTGCGCGATCCCAGCAAGACTACCGGGCCCGGGCCCGAGACTCTTTAGCTTTAGGACCGGAGACCACGGCCTGGTGGCGGACCCGAGTGCCCGGAGCAGAGACTGCTCCCTCCACCCGGAAGATCCCTGGCTTTCCCTGAATCCGGAGGCTTGCATTGATCTGAAGGCCTGGCTAGGCTTCCCGCCGCCGCAGCAGCCCGAGGACCCGCCGCGAAGCGCCTGGCTCTGCGGCAGGACCCTCGGCGGCCGCCGTAGCGCGGAGCCGAAGCCGCGCGTTCTCGTGCGCGGCGCGAGCTGCGCGGTGGCATCAACGCGAGACGCTCGCGAGCGTCCCGAGAGCCTCACCTGTAAGACGGGCTCCTGCCCAGGGGGCGCGGGAGGCCTGAATGAGGTGTCCGTGTGCAGTGATAGAGTGCTTATCACGGTGCGCAGTCCCGGCGTGGGCAGCCAGCCCGAGGAGGCCTTCTTAGCTGTATGGTGGGAATTAAGTGAGAAAGTAACCCCAAAGAACCTGCCCTTAACTAGGACTTGGGAAGCGGTAGCCATGCCTTCTCAACTACGACGCTCGAGCAGCTGCGCCGTCGGAAACACACCCCCTTAGCGCCTGCTGCTTCCGAGGGCAGGTGGGCAGGGAGAAGGCATTTGCATGATCCCACACCCGGGCTCTGAGGCCACGAGCACAAGTACGGCTCGTCCCGACCGAGCAAAGCGAGTGCAGCACACACTCCTAGCAGTAACCCTAACAGCCAGCAGGTGAAGGCCCTGCAACCTCCAGGTGAGTGAGGCGCTCCGAGGTAGCTTCTTGCAAAATGGCCAGGTCAGGGGCCTGCCTAGGTCCGTGCGCCCCCCGCTCTCCGGTTAACCAGACCCTCTACAGCGCTACAGAAAAGCCAGTTGACATGGCTTTATTCCGTCGTTCAAATGAAGGTGTGTTTCAGCTTGCACTGAAAGTGAGTTGTACCAGCTGCGTTTAGCCTTTTCTCTTTACACCCATTGTACTAAATGCTCTGTAATCTCACTTAATCCGGGCAGCCAACCTCACAGCGTTCTGTCCACTTTACATTTTGGAAAGCCAAGACTCAAAAGTTTGAGAGGCATGTTGAAGGTCACAGCTAGAAAGTAGCAGAGCCAGAATGTGAATCTGGGCTGATCTTGACTCTAAACCGTGTGCTCTTAGCAGCTCCACTGCTCTAGATATCCACCCGTATTTTCTGCTTTAAATAAAATGCTTTCTGAATCTTAATTTTCAGGGCCTGTAATGAAGCATTTTTCAGAGCACGTTTTCTAGGTTCTCCTCCCCTCCCCACTCCCAACCAGGCTTCCTTCACTAACCTTTTATTCATTGCAAGCACATAATAAATGTGGGCTGAATTTGTGAGTTCAGCGCTGGGCTTAGCAGACTTGACTTAGGGAATTCAGCTGCAAGCCACTTGCTGCCAGGCCAGACCCTCAGAGCGAAATCCAGGGGTGCAAGGACCTTGGCTCTGCAGTGGCGGTTGCATGATGATAGGGCCTCCTTGGGTCCTGCCTCAGAGGCCTTTCCATCCACCTGTTCTAAGGAATGCACTTGCCCTTCCCCACAAGTTCTTGGGACAAAACGTCCTATGCTTTCACCTTTATGTGGCTTCAGATGTTGGATTTAATTAATAAAAATTTTGCAGCCAAACTGTGGTTATGAGTCAGGGATGTGTACGTGTGTGCTTGCCTGTGTGTGAAGCCAGTCTCTCAGCACCAGCGAAAAATGTGAAGCTGCCTGTTAGTGCCGGGAATCGAGGACACCATATGCTTGCATTTCTAGGTCTTCCTAAGAGTTATATAACTGCCCCCAAAGCCAGGGGGCAGGAGCAGGGCCAGCCGTGGGAGATGTTTCCAAAGAGGAATGCTGAGGAAGGACTGACCTTGAGAAGACAGGGAGTTCGCCAGGCCATGGAATGTTCCCAGCCTCGGGGCTCAAACAAAAACTGTATTCAGAGAGTGAGCGCTCTGTTGAGAACAAGCCCTGTCTGTCTCCCTGCTTTGTCTTGGGGGTTTATCAAGGTGAGCCCTTACTCTGTGGGCCACTGGCTATTGAATTTAGAGCTGGGCACAGCTGCCAGACCAGGGCCCTGGTAATCCTCCCAGCCATCTCTAATTAGCAGGCTTTGGGGCCCGAGCATCTTGAGGGCCAGGCAGAGGTGAGATAAGAGCTCTAGCCTCATCTGTTCACAGAATATGGCTCCAGAAAGGCATGGTTGGGAGAGGAGAGCTGTGGGAAGGGACAGCCAGTCAGCAAGAGCTTATCAGAGGCTCATTCTGTGGTCATCTTTGGGGGAGGGAGGTATCTGATTGGCCCCTTCCCTTGTAGAGAACTCTCCTCACCACCCTCCCTTCCCCCTGTCTTGCTTGACTAGAGCTTATTTTTCTTTCAGGCTTCAGTTCTGAGGGCTGAGACCTAGAGCAGCATTTTTCAGACTCTGGGTCATGACCATTAGTAGCTTGTGTCATCAACGTAGTGGCTCACACCCTGCATTTAAAAAAAAAAGAACAATAGAGTAGGCTATCCAAGCACATCAGACATAATAAAGGTCTGTGTTATTTCAGTTATATATATGAAATTAATTCTTACTGGTGGATGGTAGTAAAAAAAAAAAAAAGGAAAGCCTCTGGTTTAGAAGCTATCTCTGTCCATATCCTTCTTACTACAACATCAGAAACTCTTGCTCAATCTAGTTGAGACAAGAAGGGTGTTTATTACATCACTTAAAAGGAAGTTTAGAGATGGAGCAGGCCCCAGGGTCATTGATACAGGCTCCACCATGTGACCAAGGATGCCAAGCCTTCATGGTGGGTTTTAGCCTCAGGCTGGTAGCAAGATGGTCGCAGAAGCTCCATGTCTGGCTGTCCTTGTGTCTCTGAAGAGTGAGGACATCCTTCCTGGAAGCCCTTTGGCTGCCTTCTCTCTGTCAGTGGAGAATCAGTCACAACTCTGGGCTTAGACCCATCACCGGCAAGGAGGGTAAGACTCCCATGAATAGATAAGCCTGAGCAGGATGCCCCCTGGATCTGAAACTGGGAGGGAAGGGGGCATATCTGATCAGAAAGAGGGTTCTGACCATGCACTAGAAGGCAGAATGGGAGAAGATGCTTTCACTAAAACTGACACGTGACTGATGGCTAGAATACACAAGAAATTCCTCCAAGTCAGGAAAAAGAGAGCAATCCCAGGAGAAAAATAGGCAAAAGATAGGCAATTTTCATAGAAGAGTTAACCCTAAAAGCTAACAAACGTGACAAGATACCCAGTCATTATTAATCACCAAAGAAATATGTATTTAAATGAGGTTGTACACCCATTAGATTAACAGTTAGAAAGCTGGGTAATTCCAGTTGTTGGCAACCCACAATTCCAGTTGTTGGGGGTGTGGACAGATACAGCCATTCTGGAGGGCAGTCTGGTCTTCTTGTCAAGTGATGTAAATGTGTATACTACATGACCAGCGATTCTGCTCCCAGGGAAATGACGATGTTCCCTGACGCTTCATCTGTGGTGGAGGGGACTTGTCCACAATTCTGCTGTCCATCACTGAGAAAGAAAAGGTCAGATGTGGTGGGTACACGAACAAGTCCCTATGCATCACGGGATGATAGATTAGAAGTACCCATGGCAACATGGATGGATCTTAAACACGAAGTGGTTTTTTTAAAAAAAGAATCTACTTGGTTATGAATTTTTTAAAGGTCATTTTTTGTTGTTGGAGACATGTACTGGAGTATTTCTGGGTGAAATGACATGATGTCTGGAATTTGTGTTAAAATACTCCTGAAAGAAAAAAGTGAGCCTGGGGAAGGGAGATTAGAGGAAACAAAACTGATGAATGTTGGTAGTTGTTCAGGCCTGGTGATGGCTACATAGAGCTTTGCTGTATTGTCTCTACTTTTGTCTACCTCAGAGATTTTTCATGACAAAAGCTTAAGACAACACTCTAAGGGCAGTGCGTGTGTTGCAAGAACACATTCAAATAAAAAGCTGCACCTTAAAATAGTACCCGTAGTGCAGAAGAATGCAATGGAAGGTGGTTATGGCAAATAAAAGGGAAAAGAAAATAGAGAAAATCTTTGGTGTTCCGTCGGAAAGGCTGAGAAGACTCAGGATGGCTGTCTGCCTCCCTTGGAGCATGGGCTGGGGAAGGACATGGTGTGGGACAGGGAAGGACACAGCATTTGTAGGCCAGTGAGATCTGCTCAATGCCCACCTTTATTTTCTCCAGGAGCCTCCTCCTAACCCCCAAAGCTTGGTTAGGCTCCTCCTGTGGGTGTCTGCCGCACTGGGACTCTCCTATTCTGGCATCGACTCTGCAGCAGAACTACGCCATCTTCCCCAGCAGGTGTGTGTAACAGGGCCTGGGACTTGTGTTCTACTCAATGGTCCACCCCCAGGATGTGGCACAGGCTCTACCACGTAGGCTGCGCTCTGTAAAATCAGTTTAACAAGAGCCAAGGCTTGCTGGGCGTGATCTCATTTTATTCTCACAACTCTGCGAGGTCGGAAATCGTACTTTCCCTCTGTGATCAACAAGGAAATGGAGGCTCAGAGAGGTTAAGAAACGTGCTCAGAGTCACGCAGCTAAAGCAGGGCAAAGCCAGGGTCCAGTCAGACCTTCTGCCATGAGAACTGGTATTCTCCATCACTGTACTCTACTGTCCCGAGGGAGGGATCGCAGTGCCTGATGTTGAGAGGAGGAGCTAACTTAGCCTGAAGCGCTTCGAGAGCCCCAGCAGGTACTCCCAAACCAAGAGCCGAAGGTGGTGGTACAGGCCCTGGTGTCAAAGGCATGGTTGAGAAGGAAATGGTGTGATCAGGGAGACGTGGAGCATAGGAGGAGAGTTTGCTACAGACCGCTGCAGGAGGCAGCATGTGATTGAATCCAAGAGCACTTTTTCTAAATTGTGCAGGGCTGAAACTGGAGGCTGAGATCCAGCCCTCCCTGACGGACGGTGTGTCTTCCTTCTAATTGTTCTTAGTCAGTGGTTATCACCGGGGGGTGGGTTTGGCACCAATGGTCATTTGGCAACGTCCGGAGAGAGAAGGGGTAATTAATGGCACCTAATGGGTAGAGGCAAAGGGTGCTGCTAAACATGCTACAATGGACAGGACAGCCCTTCCCCCCGCCAAACAAAGAATTATCCAGCCCCAAACGTCAACAGTGCCAATGAGAAACCCTGCTTTAAGCCTGTAAATTGCTCTTTACCTGCAAGATAGTTTTGACCATTCACCCCTTTTGCTTCCTCCAGTCCTCCCTCAGCTTCCAGAATCGCTGAATACAAGGACTTGGCAAAGACAGGGCATTGTCAGGAGAAGCCTGAATGCTGGCAGGGCCTAGGGAGTTCCATGTGTTGGAGGCATCATCTCTGATGGTTCATCACAGTCCAGGACCATTGTACCATGCTGCCTTCCCACTCTCTGATACTTGGTCCTGGTTAGTGTTTAACAACCAGCTCTGGGAAAGCAAGCCTGGTTTCAGTGTTTGATAACTTCTGTGTTGTACATATTCCAACCTTGGCCAATTTCAAGCTATCTGTGCGACTTTGGCTGGCTTGCAGAGGACCTGAAAATTGAACAATCAGACGAGCTGGTAGGAGCTAGCTCTCACACACCACTGCTTAGACCCACCTTCTGATCTTCCATATTCTCTCTTCAGCCACATAAACACCTACTGAGCCAGTGGCTTAACAGAAGTTTATTCCTCACTCTCCCAACATGGGTAATTCTGATACAGCTCTCCTATGTGGCCCTCTTCCAGGCAGCTCGGGACCCAAGCTCCTTCTGTCTTGCAGCTTACCTTCCTTCAGAGCAGCGGCTCTCAGCTAGAGAGCTGGAGAGACAATACCCCAGGGCCCTGATTCAGCAGCTGGGGGGCCTGGGAATGGGCATTTTCTTACAACTCCCCAAGTGATGCTGCTGGACAGGGCACACGTGTTGAGAACCACATTGGAATCATCTGGAGAGCTTTAGCAGGGTTCCACGTCCTGACATCCCTATCTAATTGGTCTGGGAGGCAGCCCAGGCGTGGAGATAGATAGGAAGGTTTCTGGGTGATTTCAGTGTGCAGCCAAGGATGAGGGCCTTACTTGTCTGCTTTAAAGGCCTTACTATGTCTTTTTTCATTCAGCAGATGGATATAGAAAGAGAATGAGAACTTTTGGGGAATGGCTTATGGGCCAGGCCGGGAGGTGATCCGTGTAGCAGTCAGCTCACATCTCTTTGCATGGCTGCATCTCACAGGGGAGGCCAGGAAATGTGGTCTTACTGGGCACTCGGTGGAAAGGGGGCACAGTCTGTGTTGAACAACTAGCGAGTTGCTGCCATACCGTCCTCTAACTGCTGCTTTGGAACAGTTGTACCCAGAGGGATGCCCGTGTGTGTGGACCCACAAATATCGGTGAGTCTGTGTGTGTGTGGGAGCTCCTGGCTTGAGGGTATGTTGAGATGAAAAACTACCAGTGGCAACATAGGGTATGTTTGAGTCCCTAGAGGGAGGCAGCTTGATGTGGTGGAAAAACCAAGGCTTATGGATCTGTGCTCAAACCCTTCCTCCACCACCTTTTACAAGTTACTAACCTCTCTGAGTCTCAGTTTCCCCTCTGTAAAGTGGGAATAATTTCTACCTCTATCTACTTCGTAGGACTAAATGAAATAAGCATTAAGCTGCAAAGACAGTGCTGTAGGCACATAGTACAGGATCCACAAATGTCTGTTCCCTTTCCCTTAGAAGGTACTGTCCCGTTGGCACCAGAGCTCAGGGCACTGGGGCAAATGACCTGCAAAGACCCTGGGCTTCTCTCCCAGCGCACGCGTGAAGAGCTGAGTGTGCTGGCGAAGGGCTAGCTGGCTTTCAGGGTTCTGCTCTCTGTTCTTTGGGAAGAGGAGGAACCCACACACAGCAGGCTCTCATTGTAGCAAAGGATGAAACTATGTTTCTGGGACGATGTTTAGTTGGCATGAACGTCCTCCGATGTCTGTCATTTTAGGAAAACTTTAAGACCTTGCAACCGGTTTTAAATGGAGCAATGATCTATACTACAGGAAGATTCTTTACGTTACTGAACTACTTCTTTAAATAGTTCTGCTTTCCAACGCACAGATTACATCAAGGCAGTGCTGCCTGCGGGAAGGGAGGGCATCCTTGCTCCCTATAGAAGGCAGGGCCAGGAAGGACAGCTTTGGAACCACTGGCCACTGAAGAGCCAGCATTAACGCCGAGGCTGCAGGAGGTAAGAGACTTGCCACTCTCCAGTTCACAGCCCTGCCACTGCCTGGGAAGCAGATCTGCCACCGCAGAGCTGGCCTGGGATGAGAACCGCCTGCCCTCACACTTCCCAGTTATGCAAGCTGCAGCTTGGTCACCCAGCAGTGCCCGGGGGCAAATCCCTTTGAGTAACTGTTCAGTGGCATGTGCTTAATTTCCAAGAAACTTCTGTGATCTTATGTTTTAACACCAACTCTACCCTTCCCTGTTCTTTTTCATAAAACCGCTGCCCTTCTCTGGTCCTCGGCCCCAGCACCAGCCTTCCACTAATGCCGATGCTTGCCTAGCACTTGCTTACAAGTACCAGCTGCAAAGTCTTAGGAGCCTGGACTCTGAGCTCAACTGTCTGGGTCTGAGGCAGACTCACCCACTTCTGGCACTTACTAGCTGTGTGACTTCAGGCAAGTCACCCCACTTGTCTGAGGCTCACTTTTCTCGTTTGTAAATGGTTGTGGTTTAGGACATCGTGTGGCATAAGTCGCTGTTTCTGTGACTGGGGAACACCGAGCAGCCTCCCCTAGGTTTATCTTCGGGGACGCATGGAGCACAGCTGCGGTGGGGTGTGCATAGGGACGGGGGTAGGCAGTAGGTCACCCGTTAATGAAGCCTTATGAAGAGCTGGTGCTGTGCCAAGTCCTTTCCACATTTTGCTTCACCTTATTCTTCACAGCACCCCGTAAGGGAGGTATAGCCGTCTCCTCCGTCTTGTAGACAGAGAGGCTCGGAGAACGTAAATGCCTTGCCCAGATTGCCTTCCTATTAAACTGAGAAAGCGGGCTTCCCCAACCACTGCTGAGACCACTGCTCTCTAGGCACACAGGGTGAGGGGCACGGGGAGTGGAAATGGAACCCCGTGCATGAAACAAGCAAGCCTGAGCCCAGCCAGGAGGCTCTCCACCCTACAAGCCTCTGAAGCTCTGCACACAGCGGGTCGGCCTCCAGGAGGGCAGGAAACCAGAGCCCACCAGCAGAGCCTTGCCTTCGGAAGCCACGTGAGGTTGTGGACAAGTCCCTGTGCCTCGTTTCCCTTCTCTTTATGTTTTCATACGTCAAATGATTTTATTGTCATTTTTTATTGAGGTATAATTGAAATCCATACTAGTTTAAAGTGTACAGCATTTGTATATATTTCAAAATGATCACAAGAAGTCTAGTTGACCTCTGTCACCATACATAGTTACACATCTTTTTCTGATGAGAACTTTTAAGATTTATTCTCTGATCCTCTTTCAAATACGCAATACAGTATTATTTTTTTTTAATTTTTTTATTGTTATGTTAATCCCCATACATTACATCATTAGTTTTAGATGTAGTGTTCCATGATTCATTGTTTGTGCATAACACCCAGTGCTCCATGCAGAACGTGCCCTCCTCAATACCCATCACCAGGCTAACCCATCCTCCCACCCCCATCCCCTCTAGAACCCTCAGTTTGTTTTTCAGAGTCCATCGTCTCTCATGGTTCGTCTCCCCCTCCGATTTCCCCCCCTTCATTCTTCCCCTCCTGCTAGCTTCTTTTTTTTTTTCTTAAGATATATTGCATTATTTGTCTCAGAGGTACAGATCTGAGAGTCAACAGTCTTGCACAATTCACAGCGCTTACCAGAGCACATACCCTCCCCAGTGTCCATCACCCAATCACCCCAACCCTCCCACCCCACCCCCCACTCCAGCAACCCTCAGTTTGTTTCCTGAGATTAAGAATTCCTCATATCAGTGAGGTCATATGATACATGTCTTTCTCTGTTTGACTTATTTCGCTCAGCATAACACCCTCCAGTTCCATCCACGTCGTTGCAAATGGCAAGATCTCATTCCTTTTGATGGCTGCATAATATTCCATTGTATATATATACCACATCTTCTTTATCCATTCATCTGTTGATGGACATCTTGGCTCTTTCCACAGTTTGGCTATTGTGGACATTGCTGCTATAAACATCGGGGTGCACGTACCCTTTCGGATCCCTACTTTTGTATCTTTGGGGTAAATACCCAGTAGTGCAATTGCTGGATCATATGGTAGCTCTATTTTCAACTTTTTGAGGAATCTCCATGCTGTTTTCCAGAGTGGCTGCACCAGCTTGCATTCCCACCAACAGTGTAGGAGGGTTCCCCTTTCTTCGCATCCCCGCCAACATCTGTCATTTCCTGACTTGTTAATTTTAGCCATTCTGACTGGTGTGAGGTGGTATCTCATTGAGGTTTTGATTTGGATTTCCCTGATGCCGAGCGATATTGAGCACTTTTTCATGTGTCTGTTGGCCATTTGGATGTCTTCTTTGGAAAAATGTCTGTTCATGTCTTCTGCCCATTTCTTGATTGGATTCTTTGTTCTTTGGGTGTTGAGTTTGATGAGTTCTTTATAGATTTTGGATACTAGCCCTTTATCTGATATGTCATTTGCAAATATCTTCTCCCATTCTGTCGGTTGTCTTTTGGTTTTGTTGACTGTTTCCTTTGCTTTGCAAAAGCTTTTTATCTTGATGAAGTCCCAATAGTTCATTTTTGCCCTTGCTTCCCTTGCCTTTGGTGATGTTTCTAGGAAGAAGTTGCTTCAGCTGAGGTCGAAGAGGTTGCTGCCTGTGTTCTCCTTTAGGATTTTGATGGACTCCTGTCTCACATTGTGGTCTTTCAACCATTTGGAGTCTATTTTTGTGTGTGGTGTAAGGAAATGGTCCAGTTTCATTCTTCTGCATGTGGCTATCCAATTTTCCCAATACCATTTGTTGAAGAGACTGTCTTTTTTCCATTGGACATTCTTTCCTGCTTTGTGGAAGATTAGTTGAGCATAGAGTTGAGGGTCCATTTCTGGGCTCTCTATTCTGTTCCACTGATCTATGTGTCTGTTTTTGTGCCAGTACCATACTGTCTTGATGATGACAGCTTTGTAATAGAGCTTGAAGTCCAGAATTGTGATGCTGCCAGCTTTGCTCTTCTTTTTCAACATTCCTCTGGCTATTCGGGATCTTTTCTGGTTCCATACAAATTTTAGGATTATTTGTTCCATTTCTTTGAAAAAGGTGGATGGTATTTTGATGGGGATTGCTTTGAATGTGTAGATTGCTCTAGGTAGCGTTGACATCTTCACAGTATTTGTTCTTCCAATCCATGAGCATGGAACGTTTTCCCATTTCTTTGTGTCTTCCTCAATTTCTTTCATGAGTATTTTATAGTTTTCTGAGTACAGATCCTTTGCCTCTTTGATTAGATTTATTCCTAGGTATCTTATGGTTTTGGGTGCAATTGTAAATGGGATCAACTCCTTAATTTCTCTTTCTTCTGTCTTGTTGTTGGTGTATAGGAATGCCACTGACTTCTGTGCATTGATTTTATATCCTGCCACTTTACTGAATTCCTGTATGAGTTCTAGCAGTTTTGGGGTGGAGTCTTTGGGGTTTTCCACATAAAGTATCATATCATCTGCAAAGAGTGAGAGTTTGACTTCTTCTTTGCCGATTTGGATGCCTTTTATTTCTTTTTGTTGTCTGATTGCTGTGGCTAGGACTTCCAATACTATGTTGAATAGCAGTGGTGATAGTGGACATCCCTGCCGCGTTCCTGACCTTAGGGGGAAAGCTCTCAGTTTTTCCCCATTGAGAATGATATTCGCTGTAGGTTTTTCATAGATGGCTTTTATGATATTGAGGTATGTACCCTCTATGCCTATACTCTGAAGAGTTTTGATCAAGAAAGGATGCTGTACTTTGTCAGATGCTTTTTCTGCATCTATTGTGAGGATCATATGATTCTTGTTCTTTCTTTTGTTAATGTATTATATCACGTTGATTGATTTGCAGATGTTGAACCAACCTTGCAGCCCAGGGATAAATCCCACTTGGTAGTGGTGAATAATCCTTTTAATGTACTGTTGGATCCTATTGGCTAGTATTTTGGTGAGAATTTTTGCATCCATGTTCATCAGGGATATTGGTCTGTAATTCTCCTTTTTGATGGGGTCTTTGTCTGGTTTTGGGGTCAAGGTAATGCTGACCTCATAAAATGAGTTTGGAAGTTTTCCTTCCATTTCTACGCAATACAGTATTATTAACTATAGTCACCATGCTGTACATTCTAGCCCCAGGGCTTGCATCGTATAATCTACCATTGCTTCCTTCTAAAGTATTTTTCATTTCAGTTGTTGTATTCTTCAACTCTGTTTGGTTCTTTTTTATATTCTTTATCTCTTTCTTGATGTTCTGAGTTCATCCACTCTTTTCTCCAGTCTGGTGAGCATCTTTATGACTATTACTTTGAACTTTATGAGATAGATTGGTTATCTCCGTTTCATTTAGTTCTTTTTCTGAGGTTTTGTCTTGTTCTTTCATTTGGAGCATAGTCCTCTGTCTCCTCATTTTGCTTGATTTTCTGTGTTTGTTTCTATGAATTAGGTGGAACAGCTACTTCTTCTAAATTTGAGGTAATGCTCCTGTGTGTGGTCATCCCCTGTATAAACTGGGTGTGCCTGGTGACTTCGGCTGGGCGGCTGGTTGGAGATGTGGCTGGCATGGGCTGAGGGTCCTGGGCACTCCATGCTGGAGTTGCCCTGGTGGGATGGCTAGAGCTGAAGTAGGCGTGGGCCAGGGAAGTTTCAGGGCTCTCTGTGCAGAGGGCACCCTGGTAGAATAGCTGGAGCTGAAGTGAGTGCAAGCTAGGGGGCCCTAGGGCACTCCACACAGGGGCACACTGGTAAGACAGTTGGATCTGAGGCAGGTGGGAGCCAAGATTTATTGAGGCACTCTGTGCTGGGGGTGCTCTGGCGAGTCATCTGGAGCTGAAGTGGTGCAGGCTTAGAGTGTTCCAGGGTGCTTTGTCCCTGTGTCACCTGGAGGAGACAGCTGGGGCTGTAGTGAGCACTGACCAGGGATATCCTGGTGTGTGCTGCACTGGGAACACCTTGGTGGGACACCTGGGGCTTGTGTGGGCTGGGGGCTGGGGCTCACTAAAGTGGCAAGCCTGGGGTGCCTGGGTGGCTCAGTCGTTAGGCATCTGCCTTCAGCTCAAGTCATGGACTCAGGGTCCTGGGATCAAGCCCCGCATCGGGCTCCCTGCTCAGCGGGAAGCCTGCTTCTCCCTCTGCCTCTGCTGCTCCCCCTGCTTGTGCTCTCTTGTTCTTTTTCTCTCTGTCAAATAAATAAAATCTTAAAAAAAAAAAAGTGGCAGGCCAGCTAAGATGCCCGGATCCTGCTCCTTTCCATGTTATCAAGGTGGAAGGGGAATATACCCTGTGGTGTTTGCTAGCCCCTCTGACCCAGAGAGAGTTCCTGCAGCAGCCCTGCCATTTTGTGGGGTTCTTGGCTAGTTTCTTTATATTCTAGTTGCACTTTTAAACAATGGCTTTTTTCTGTGCCCCAAAGTAGACAAATCTGCTCATGGTCCCTCAGTGTTATCCCTCCTACTATAATTCATGGTGCTGGGGCTAGAAGTTCCTTTTGTTACCATGTCTCCATCTCTCTTGCCATTTCTCTATATGGTCTCTCTATTGTTGTGCAGAAGCTGCTTGGTCATCCCTCAGTTCTTCTTCAGGGGGATTTGCTCTGTAAGTAGGTGTAGATATGGTGTGTCTGTGGAGGAGGTGACTTCTGGGTCTTCTATGTCACCATCTTGAACCGGAACCAGTCTTGTTTCTTTTTCTTACCTAATTGCCCTGGCCAGGACTTCCAATACTATGTTGAATAAAAGTGGTGAGAGTGGGAATCCTTATCTTGTTCCTGATCTTAGAGCAGAAACTTTCAGCTTTTCACCACTGAGTGTGATGTTCGCTGTGGGCTTGTCATATATGGCCTTTATTATGGTGAGGTACATTATCTCTGTATCCACTTTGTTGAGAGTTTTTTTTTTTTTTAAATCATAAATGGGTGTTGAATTTTGTCAAATGCCTTTCTGCATCTATTGAGATGGTCATATGATTTTTATCTTTTATTTTGTTAATGTGGTGTATGTGTTGACTGATCAGTAGGTGTTAAACCAGCTTTGTATCCCTGGAATAAATCCCATTTGATCATGGTGTTTGATCCTTTAATGTATTTAATGTAATATATCATATTTAATGTATGTAATATATATTAATTTATTGTTTGCTAATATTTTGTTGAGGATTTTTACATCTGTGTTAATCAGGAATATCGACTTGTAAATCTTTCTTGTGGCATCCCTGTCTGGTTTAGTTATCAGGGTATTGCTGGCCTCATAAAATACATTTGGAAGTGTTCCCTCCCTTTCTATTTTTTGGAAAAGTGTAAGAAGGATTAATGTTAATTCTTCTTTCAATGTTTGATAGAGTTCATCAGTGAAGCCATTGGGTCCTGGACTTTGTTATTTGGGAGATTTTTGATAACTGATTCAATCTCCTTACTAGTAATTGGTCTGTTCCACTTTTCTATTTCTTCATGATTCAATCTTGGTAGTTTGTGTGTTTCTAGGAATTTATCCATTTCTTCTACATTGTCAAATTTATTGGCATATAATTGTTCATAGTAATCTCTTAGGATCTCATCTATTTCTGTGGTATCAGTTGTAATGTCCCTTCTTTCATTTCAGATTTTATTTGAGACCTCTCTCTCTCTCTTCTTGGTGAGTATAGGTAAAGTTTTGTCAATTTTGTTTATCGTTTCAAAGAACCAGCTGTTGGTTTCATTGATCTTTTATATTGTCTTTTTTATTTCTGCTCTGATCTTTGTCATTTCCTTCCTTCTACTAACTTTGAATTTTGTCCCTGGAGTTAGTGTAAAGTTAGGTTGTTTGAAATTTTTTGTTTGTTTCTTGAGGTAGGTATTTATCGCTATGAACTTCCTTCTTAGAACTGCTTATGCAACATAAGTTTTGGTATGTTGTATTTCCATTCTTATTTGTCTCAAGGTAACTTTTTTCATTTATTAAGTTTTTAATCTTAATTCCACTATAGTTGACATACAGTGCTTTATTAGTTTCAGATGTACAATATAATGATTCAGCCATTCTGTACATTACTCAGTGCTCATTGTGATAAGTGCAAGGTACTTTTTGATTTCTCCTGATATCTTTTTTTGATGTTTTAAGTAGCATGTTGTTTAATCTCCACATATTTGTGATATTTCCCGCTTTCTTCTTCTACTTAATTTCTAGTTTCATACCATTTTGGTCAGAAAAGATGCTTGATGTGACTTCAATCTTTAATTTATTAAGACTTGTTTTGTGGCCTAACATATGATCTGTCCTGGAGAATGTTCCATGTGCACTTGAGAAGAATATGTATTCTGCTGCTTTTGGATGGTATATTGTCTAGATCATATGAATTTAACAGATACATAATGTGCCATATAGGGCTGATGTTTCCTTATTGAATTTCCCTATACTGTTACTAAATGACTGTCTGTGTCTCCCTTTAGGTCTGTTAGTATTTGCTTTATATATTTAAGGTGCTCCAACACTGGGTGCATAAATATTTACAACTGTTAAGTCATCTTGTTGGATTGACCCCTTACCATTATATAATGCCCTTCTTTGTCTCTTACTACAGTCTTTGTTTCAAAGTCAGCTATGAATATAGCACACCAGCTTTCTTTTGGTTTCCATTTGCATGGAATATCAGATATCTTCCCATCCTTTCACTTTAGGTCTATCTGTGTCCTTTTGTTTGAAATGAGTCTCTTGTAGGCAGCAATAGATGGGTCTTTTTTTTTTTTTTAATTGTTTCAGCCACTCTGTCTTCCAATTGGAGAGGCTAGTCCATTTACATTTAAAGTAATTATTGGTAGGTATATACTTACTGCCATTTTGTTAATTGTTTTCTGGCTGTTTTGTTTTTGCTGTTTTCTTTTGTGATCTGATGAGTCTCTTTAGTGGTATGCTTCGATTTCTTGCCTTGGTCTATCTTTTTTTTTTTAATTTAATTTTATTATGTTATGGTAGTCACCATACGTTACATCATTAGTTTTTGTTTTTTTTTTTAAAGATTTTATTTATTTATTAGAGAGAAAGAGAGAGAGAGCATGAGATGGGGGAGGGTCAGAGGGAGAAGCAGACTCCCCGCCGAGCAGGGAGCCCGATGCGGGACTCGATCCCGGAACTCCAGGATCACGACCCGAGCCAAAGGCAGTCACTTAACCAACTGAGCCACCCAGGCGCCCCTACATCATTAGTTTTTGATGTAGTGTTCCATGGTTCATTGTTTGCGTATAACACCCAGCGCTCCATGCAATACATGCCCTCCTTAATACCCATCACGGGGCTAACCCTCTCCCCACCCACCTCCCCTCTAAAACCCTCAGTTTGTTTCTCAGAGTGCATAGTCTCTCTTGGTTCGTTTCCCCACTTTGGTGTATCTTCTATAAGTTTGCTTTGTGGCAGCCATGAGGCTTACGTATAACAATTGGTATTTATAACAGTATATTTTAAGTTGATAACAGCTTAAGTTTGAATGCATTCGAAGGCTCTACATTTTTACTCCCCTCCCCACCCCCACGTTTTAGGTTTTTAATGTCACGTTCTACATCTGTTTATCTTGTGTGTCTGTTAACCATTGGTCTTTTAACCTCCATGCTATCTTTAAATTGATTGATCCACCATCTTTACATTAGATTATTCTAAATTGTACTATATATTTACCTTTACCAGTGAGATTTATATTTTTATATTTGGTGCTTTCTTATATTTTCTGTCTCCTTTGTGAAGTTCTCACTGTGTTCATTCTTTTCCTGAGTTTGATGAGCCCTTTTGACCATTATTTTGAACTTTTTATCAAATAAATAATTTTTTTCTGTTTCATGAAATACTTTTTCAAGGTTTTATCTTGTTCTTTCATTTGGAACATATTCTGTTTTCTTCATTTTCCTTGGCTTCCTGTGTTGGTTTCTATGCATTAGATAAAACAACCCCTCTTCCCATCTTTAAGGAGCAGCCTCATGGAGGAAATAAACCTTAGAGTTCAACCCTGCCCGAGCTTTTGGTTATCCCAAACCTTTGTGATTGTCCCAGCATTATTTTTGGTGGCTCGCAGTAATTGAGGGTGGGCCAAGATCTGCCAGTGTCCGAAAGGGGAGGAGCTCAATCAGCACCTACGTTCAGGCTGATTGGAAGCTAGACCCTTAGGCAGCAACTTTTAAAGAATGCAAATACATACAGTTCTGTGGGACTGCAAGCTTAAGTCCTCCTGGACACCAGAGCCAGGTAATCTTGAGGTGTCCTCTCGATAGTAGCCCCAGACATCAGGGTGCCAGACAAATGTATGAGTTCCTTTCTGGGAGATACTGGCAGCCTGGAGCAAGGCAGAGGGACAGTACAAAGATGGTGTCTACCGGCCTCCATTCCCACAGTGCATCTTAGTAGGGCCCTAGATATGTACTAAGCCAGAAGTCTGCCCCTCAGGCTGAAACTCCTGAACAAGGAAGTAGGTCTGTCACAGAGAGACTTGGTGTGTCTTTCAGTCTGCTGTCTCTGCAGTGCCCTGGTGGTGACAGCCAGCCAAGAACCATCCCCTGAATTATCGTCCCATGGGATCCAGGAATACCCACCCTGCTGGTCACCCGAGTGCTCGGTGATCGAGGGCCATCCCCTGGGTGACAGCCGTAAAAGCTGGGGCTCCAGACACATGGACAAACTCCTCCCCAGGAGATACTGGCACTCTGCAGTGTGACAGAGGGAAAGCAAGAAGGTAGCACCTGCCTGCTGAGGTCTCTGGAAAGGATGATCGTAGGGCCTTAACTGTGTGCTGAATTAGATATTGGCCCCTCAGGCTGATGCTTTAAGATCAGCAGATAAGCCTCCTGCACCGAAAGGCCGGGTGCTTCTCAATGGCTGCTTCTGTGCTCGTCCCTGGGTCGAGTAAGTCTGTGCACAGGCTTTTTAAGAGCAGTTTTTCAGTTTGCTGTATAGCCCTAAGGGTCTCATGGACAGAAACCCCATTGGTTTTCAGTGCTGAATGTTTTGGGGGCTTGTGGCTCAGGTGAGGTCTTAAAAGCTGGAGTGCCCAATGTAGAGTACAAGACCTTTGCTTCTCAGGGAAAAGCTCCGGGTTTTGAGTTCCCTTCAGTTGCGGGCACTCATGCCAGGGGTGGAGTTAATGGCAAGATTGTGTTTCAGCCTCGCATACCTGCTTCAGTGTGGGTTTTTTCTTGTTTGCCTGATGTGTAGGCATCAATCTAGTTTTTAGGGTTTTTTTCCAGAGGAAACTGTTCCATACGCAGCTGTAGATTTCATATGTCTGTGGAAGGAGGTGAGTTCAGGATCTTCCTGTGACACCATCTTGAACTGAAACCTGCCTTTCTCCTTAAATAGGGAATGCTGAATGCCAACTTCTCTTTTTAAGGCGCTGAGCATGAGGTTATGATAAAACAGAAAAGACAGGCTCCTGGACCTGACAGAACTTACAGGTTAGCAGGGGAAAGTGGATATGAAATTAATAATTACATAATTGAATAACAGCATTGTGAGTTCTGTGAAAGAGTGGAGTACTAATCAATTATCTAATAGGAGATAACAACCTAGTTGGGGTGAGAGCTGGGGAGAGTTTATGAGATCATTTGAGGCCCAAGACAGGGATTCAAAAGCTGAGACCCAGGCATGTCCAAGGACCTGTGTTCCTCTTGGTGTCTCTTGTAGATCTCTTTGCCTCCTACCATCACTGGTCACTGAACTTCTTGACATCCTAATTCCATGCATGGCTCCTTCTGAATCCTCTCTAATTTCCAGTTTTAAAGTTAGGCAGAGGCCCTAACTCACAGATTGCTGGTAGACCTGGGCATGGATTCCTCTTGGGTGAAGTGTCAGCCCTGATTTAAGAAACTGAGATTCAAGGTCAGGGCGAGATGTTAAAAATATAGGAAAAAGAAAAAGTCTGGTAATGAGCATTCATTCATTCAACAAGTACTGAATGTGCCAGATGTTGGGGAGGGTATGGCCTGGAATACATGCTCATGAACTTGTAGTTCACCAGGGAACACACTAAAAAAACAGGCATAAGTGCTAGGTGTGCAAAAAACAAGGGCCCACTGAGCCTTTCCCAAGAAGGAATTAGGCCTGAGCGGTATCCAGAAAATTGAGTCGATTTGCCAGAATGGAGGTTGGGCCAACCCGAGGGGTGGGGGTGGGGGTGGCGGGAGGCTGGGAGAGGGGTTGCCGAGGGGATTTGCAGGATGGCGGGACAGCAGTGTGTAGCACAGGAAGGACTTCCCAGGAGCCTGAATGGAAGAGCAAAGATGTGCGCATATGTGCTAGAGTCAAGGGTGAAGACATGGATGGTGGGAGAGGCAGCCAAGTGGAGCTTGGAAAGTGGGACAGAGCCATGGTTCTCAGATTTTGGCATGCATCAGAATCATCTAGAGGGTTTATTAAAACAGATTGCTGCATCCCACCTCCAGTTTCGGAGTCTGTCTGTATGAGAAGGTGCATTTCCATCAGGTTCCTGGGTGATTCTGGTCCAGAGACAACACTTAGAGCTGCACTGGGTTAGAGGAAGGCTGAGAGTAAGGGGACCGGCCAAGAGTGAAAGGCGGTGCTGGGAGAAAGGGATTTATCGTGCTGGTCTCTTTACATACAATTGCAGTCATTTCAACAATTCTGAAATGTCATCCTTATTCTAGAGTAAAGGATGCACAGAGAAGCAAAAATCTATGCCCATGGCCAGTTAGTTAAGTGACTACGTCTAGCCTAAGACACAAAGCCTGTTCTCAGCCACACTGGAATGGACAGTGAGTGGTGATTGATGGCATGGTGGTGGGGGCCAGAGCAAGTAAGGGAGACAGAAACTTCATGGGACTTCCGGCTTTCTGATTTGGGCAACAGGGTGGTAGATGTCATTGCCTAGAGCGGGTTCATTTTGAGAGACCTCAAACTTGGGTTTATCTTTGGGGTTAAGACTAGCGTGTTAATGCTTTCTGAACAGATACAGATGTCCAATAGGCAAGTGGATTCAAGAGTCTGGGGGCTCAGGAGAGAGGACCAGACTGAGGGGTTGGAAAGCATCATGTGGGTGATGTCATGTTATGAAACCCCAGGAATATGAGGCAGGCAGGGGAAGGGAATGGGGACCTCCCTGAGGAAATGAACAGCCAAGGAGCAGGTGAAGAGGAGGCTGAAAGCTAAGGATTGGGCAGGGATGATGATGATGATGGTGGAAAGACAGGGGGTCCGGTTTCAGGAAGTGTGTGATGGGAGCATCAGTGCTGTGGAGGCCAAGTAAGGACTGGGATGGGCTGCTGGATCGAACAAGCAGGTCAGTGGTGACCTCAAGCAGGACAATTTCAGTGGACTGGTTTTAATGGGAGCCAGGAGGTGGCAGAGGGATGATTAGGAGGTGAGCAAGTCAAGGGAAAAGGCTGGTCGGGATGGGATGGCTCCATTGCAGATTTGTAGGGGTGGACAGTATCTGGGGTCACTATTCAGGAGCTGTTTCTGTCATTTTTCTGGAGCCTATCTTAGCTACTACGGACGGGGCTTAAGGGAGAATCCGAGTGCGAAGTAGGAATGAGCCCAGTCATTTAGTCTTGCCTTTAGAAAGCTTAGATCTGGCCTGGTTTGGGTACCAGTTTTACCCATCACTTAGCTGCTTCCTCTAGAGCAAACTTTTGGCTCTAAAACTTTATTCAGAGGATTGTCAGAAGGTAGAAGTGTTCCGGTGGGAAGGGGACGGGAGGTTCAGAGCCTCCCCAGGTCCTGCTCCACCCTCCCTCTGGGGGTCTCGAAGCCTAGGGCTGCTTAGAGCAGTAAGAAGCCCTGGCCTGGAGGCCACCTGGGGTCACCCCCGGTGTCGACCGTCGTCAGGCCACTGACCGTCATCATAGTGGTGTGTGTGTTCACTGGTCAGTTCTCCGGCGGTGCCAGAAAGCAGACCCGCGGGGAGTAGGGGCGGGGGCGGCCAATCTGCCAGGGCTGTGTGGGTTTAAGCACATGGCAGGGGCCTCAGGCCACCATGACAGCAGTGAAGCCCAGCATGTCCTCCAACAGCCAGTTACCACCTGTCTCGTGGTCCAGGAATCCTGACAACTTTCTCTTCAGCTTCCTCCTGGTTTCCTTATATCAGGCTGAGCAGATGGCTCTCTTTAAAGATGACTGGCTTACAGGTGCAGAGCTCATCCTGGGGGAAAGTGCCCCGAGACCCGAGAAAGGAAGAATGGCGGGATTAGACTAAGGGCAGACCAACCAGCTCTCCGGCTGGAGGAGGTAGGGACAGTGACAGCCAGTATGTGGGAATTACCCGTCTCCCTTCCAGTCCCGCCTGCACAGCTTGGAAGTGAGTGGCAGGCGAGGGGCATGAGCAATGAATTAAACTTCCAGAGGAGAAAAAGTACTTGAACTCGTTCTCTGATCACCCACAGACCACGCTCTCTGGTGCCAGCAGTAAGGACCCTGGATCGTTAGCTGCTGGAAGCAAGGACAGCCTCGGTGCGTGCTTGTTCACAGCCCTCAGGCTGCAGTCCGGAGCCAGGACGCGAGGAGGGCATTTCACGCTCACTCTGAAAGCAGGCCTTCTCAGACTTGACCCTGAAGTGAGATCTCCTTACCTTTTTTTCTTAAGTGCCTTCTAGCACATAAGCACTTTCTGAAATGGAGCCATTTGCCGCTGCATTAGGACCAAGCTCTGTGAAAGGGAAGCGCTTTGTGAGACCCACACTGGCCACGAGATGGTGCATACGTGGGTTTCTGCCGCTCACGCGCACCCGGGCCTCACGACGCTCGAGGCTGTCGTGGTGGGGACGCGAGAGATGGCAGGTGGGCTGCGGGCTGGGACCAGGCTGGCAAGAGTGTTACTCCACCAAGCGACTTAATCTTTCACAGGACGTGTCTTTCCGCCAAGCAGCAGAGGATCGGTGGCAGGTGGAGTTAACAGCTCCCCCCCGAGGTGGCCCACGGGAGAATGCGTCAGGTAAGTCCATCTCCGAATCAGAGGGCCTGGGCACACAGTTTCCTCTGAACACTGGGACTCCCAGTCGCCTAGCGAGCCGATGAAGCCAGACGGCCGGTTAGCTCTGGTTCCGGGGGTCTGGGGGTCGCCCTGCTCGCCAGTCCCCGGTCGGCGCCTGTGCAGCTGCCGGTACCTGGCTGCGCGCTGGGACCCGCACTCACACATCCGGGTCTCAAAAGGGATGAGGGCACGAGACCGATTCCATTATAATAGCCATCTTTATTTGTAAAAATCCAGATATAAAATGTATTCTTTCAGTCTTTCCAAGTTTTCCTTTTTACAAAAACAAAAAGGCACATAAAAACCATCCCCGCGGTCATTCCCATAGACGATGTTTGTCAGGCAGCCCTCCCCCCTCCCCCCCATAGAGCTACATGCTTCATTCCGGGACGTCTTGCTTCCCCCACATGCTTCGGTGCTTTCCTACCAGGGTAGAGTTCCGAATTCCAAGACTGAAGTACACAAAGAGGGGGTGGGGGGTGGGTGCGAAGTGTGTGGCGTGATGCTCCACGGCGTGCAGGACACGGGGTCTAGTAGTAGGTTTCTTTCTCTACCCAGCCTGGAGGCAGCAAAGAGAGACAGACACACGGCAGTGAGGCCTCCTGGCTCTAGTACACAGGGGGAACGACAGTGACAAGGAGCGACCCCGGGGGGGTGGGGGGGTGACAAAGCCCGGGACGGGGGGAGGTCACCCAAATTCAGTACTGGACCTCAACTGTTTCTATTCAAGTGTTTTTAGAAAGGACATGTTAACTGGGAAGATGGCTCTGATTTCTGACCAACTTTCCACCGTATCATATTGGGTTTTAGTGGAGTCTAAAATAGGATTGGTTCTGAAACCCTCTGGGGATGGGATGGTGGCTGCAGGCAGTCCAGGGGCCTTAGCCAACCAGACTGATCAGAGGAAACAAGCCACAGAACCATGGCCTCCCCCACACCCCTGCTGAAGCTAAAAGGTCTGTACTTACCACCAGGGCGTCGCCTGATGATGAGTTTTCGGACTTCGTCGTACACGAAGATGAGGAGAGAGTAGGGGAAGGCACAGAACCACCAGGTAGGTCTGGAAAAGAGAAGCAGGTACCAATTTAGACGTGAACACAATTCAAAGGAAAGAGAAACTGTATCATCAGCGACAGTGGAAGAGCCTGGAAGGAGGAGCCAAATACGGTCATGACTAACCACTGAGCCTTTAGCATGGACCACACAGCAGGGTCCTGAGAACAGAATGCTGCTCCCTATGCCCAGGGCCTAGAGGGGCAGAGGAAGGCAGACTGCAGACTTTCTGAAGGAATCCCCTTCCCACCTTCAGTCTGCTTTTTTTAATTTGGTTTGCAGGGGGGAGTTGAGATTTTTTGGTTGACCATCCCACAGCAAAGGGACATTTTCTTTCTTCCCTTTCTCAAGTTCTACGTCCTGGCATCTGCTGATCAAGAACCGCCAGTGTGGCTCAAAACCAGTCTCTCTATCCCTTGCATACAGTCAGCTGTGTGTTGAATCCCAGTGCTGGGGAATGAAAACAGCCGAGCCCTAAGAGACAGCAGAGGCCTTTGGGAGCCTGGCGGGCTGCTGCCACAGTCCCCAGCCTGGGGATAGGCGCCTGGCGCAGCCTCGTCACAAACCTGTGCTTCCCTGACGACCAACTTCTGCGGTCAATGTGTGAGGGAGGCTGTCCCAGGACAGAGGCCTGGCACTCTCCTCTTCTTCCTGGTGCTAGGCGTCCTCCTCCACAGCTAAAAGAGGACCTCCTTTGACTCGGCCACACAGAGTAACTAAGCCACCTTCCAAATTGGGTAGAACCTGTTCAGGAACAAGCTCTCCAGTCAGAATAAAACATGGCCTGAGGCACTACTCCATTTCAGGGTGACTCCATCTCAGCCTTTTAGAGAGCTGGGTTCTCCTACCCTCCTCTTGACAAACTGGCTCAAGCTGATAAAATTCAACTTGGACAAGGCTTGCCCCTGGTGTACACCAGCTCTGTATAAGGTGCCGGGGATACAAAGTCAAAAAAGATCCTATAGCCCATGCCTTAAAGATTACAACCTAGTGGGGAGCAGAAATGACAAGTAATAGCAAAAAAGGGGTGTGACTGCGCATGTCCAGGAGGGCGAGATCACACAGGGCAAGCTCCGGGGAAATTGGCCCTGAAGGACTCTCTGGCCTGATGGGGTGGGAGGGAGCAGCCTTACCAAGGACATACGCTGGAAGAGAAAGTATGGAATTCATCTGACAAGCTTGGATGGCTACAAGAGAAAGCTGAAAAGACAGCTCGGGCAATAGCGGACAGACCCCTAGATGCCAGGCTACCCTTCCACAGAGGGAATGTCTGTACAGACCCAACAAGATGCCAGTGAGGCCCACAGGGATTGGCTACTTCAGGGACGGGGTCAGGCTACTGGAATTTGCACTTCTGATAAACCTGCATTTTTCACATACAGGGTTTACCACAAAGTCCTTCACTGTGTTTAAAAAGGCCCGCTGGTTCTGAGCAAAGTTAGTGGTGGGCTTCCTTTGGTCTATTCTACCCATGACCCACCTCAAGCCTGCTTCTCCCACCTCCTTCGGGAGCAGAGGATTCAGAGGCCCACAGAGGTGGGGGCCTGTGATGGGACACACAAGGGCTAGGTAAGTAAATCAAGATTTGAACCCGGTCCCCTAAGCCCCAGGCTACTAATGACGACCGACTGTTGCCATGGGGGACCCGAACATGGCACCCAAACACTCACCGCAGTTGGCTGGTGAGCCACCCCAAGGTACCAGAGCCTGTCTGGCCTGATCTTAGCCAAATCCTAAGCACCCTGGTCAGTCCTTCCTGATTTCCAGACCAGAGAAATTCTTGTACATGCCACCCTTAATCCCTAAAAATAATAGCTACTAGCGCATGTCACAAGAGAAGGTCCACTTCTATTTCATGCTTTATGGAGCTGGATGAGGAGTGACTTACTTGAGGGGGTACATCCTCAGGGCAACACCCATTCCAGGGCAGTAGGAAAGGAAAGCAGCAAGGGCCGTCTCTTCAAAGAGGCCAAATATTAAGATCTTGTTCCTAAAATCAAGGGGAGAAAAAGCTTAAGAACACAAACAGGAGTTTATCTTTTAATGCTATGTGTTCAACGGCAGATCAATGTCTTTACGTGTTAGTGTTAGTTGTACTTAGGAACTTGAGGGCAGATTGAAAAAAAAAACAAAAACAACATTTTGCTTCCTAAATCTGTGCCAAAGGGGAGATTCCAGAAACTGCCATGTGCCGGGGGCCAGGATTTTGCAAAGAGCTGAGAGACCAGGAGCCCTGGTCTGAGGGCCCCAACTGTCCTCTACTCACTTCATCCCCTGTTGGAAGACAGAGTTCCTCCTGGTCTTACAGATGACCAGATCAGCCCACTGCACCACCACGATGCTGACAAAGAAGGCTGTGTGGCACGTGAACTCCACGATTTTCCTCTGTTCGTAGGTCTGGAACACGGAAGGCAGAGAGATGAGCCCAGCACTTGGCCTGCGTGGCCGGCAGCTGAGTAGCCACCGTCCTCAGGGGTCTGAGGAGCGCCCCACTGGTCAGGCCCTCGCTCACCCACTGCTGCCCGTAGCTGTCCTCCACATCGTTGATCCAGCGGTCATCCCAGTCCACTCGGATGCCCAGCAGGTGGGTTGGGAGGAAGCCGTTCTCAGCCAGAATCACAAAGTATGTGAAGAAGCCTCCCAGGGCCTGGATCATACCTGCAAGTGTGCATGAACAGTTCTCACCTGGTTCCAGGGCATCTCTGCACACCCTTCATCCGACTGCCACAGCAGGCCCCGGGGGGTCCTCTGGGGCGGTCTTCAGCACTGGCTGAGAGAGGATTGGGAGAATGGGAGGACCCCAGGGGCAGAGCCCTCACACGGCACCCTCTTCTCTTTTTTGAGTCACTTTTTAGAGCTTTCTTTAAAAGGGGAAGACACGTAGGCCTTGCTCTGAAACGCCCACTGCTATCATATGATCACGTGTCTCTATCAGGGCAGAGCCTTTTTAGGGGAAAAATGCTTCCCTATTTTTTTAAATCTCTGCTACAATGTGACTTCTTTCCCATCTCAGTTTTCACACATTCCAAATAGTGACTGTGGCACCTTCCAACCCCCTCCCCTCGCCCCCCCGCATCTGATCCCACCACACCACCCTGAGTTCCTCAGGGCAGGATTTCATCCTATGCTCTGGCCCTAAGCCTCCTTCTTAAGAGTCAGGTCCTCCTGGCCCTTAGCCAGCTCCTTGTCAGCAACTGTTAACCAGTCTGCCATATTTCCACAATGTACTCATCTGTTCCATTCTACCCAAGTGTTCACAGTGATGCAACCCATTAATCCAAAGGCCTGGGCTGCTCCTGGTGGCCTCACTGGGTTCTCCTGAATGCCACTAGGCAGAGCATTTAGGATCCCAGGGCATGTTCAATGCCCACTACCTAGAGACCATCTGTTAGCTGGTCAAGCTCCACTGGTAGAGTGGGAATCAAGCCCTGGGGGTGGGGAGAGTGAGGGTGCAGGGCTATCACTGGGTGGTGACCCGCCAGCCAAACCTTCAAGCTCATGTGGTTTCTTCAAAGCCTAACTCTATCCAAATTAGTGCCCGACACTCTATATCCCCAGGGGACACTGCCTCTGAAGGAACTGTGCCTGGCGTTCCAAGGGGCAGCCCCCATTCTTAGGCAGCCAAGCCCCGTCTCAAGAACTCCAGTCTCCACAAGGAAGTAACTGGGCAGACAGCAAAAGATTTCTTCTCTGCTCAGGAGAATCTTGTACAAAATTCCCCTGCATCTCACCCTATGCTCTGCCTCCTGCTAGATCTGAAGCCTGAGAAACCAAGCCTGGCTGAGCCTCCCTCCCCCCCCAAACAGATGCTTCCCGCTAAGTGCCAGGGGCCTCGGTGGCTCACCAATCTGCCCGTAGGCCATGCTTATCAGCCGCTCGTTCACAAGCTTGTCCGTTTTGGGGTTTCTGGGCTGTCTCTTCATGATGTCGCTCTCAGCTTGCTCGTAAGCCAGGGAGATGGCAGGAACCTGGGGAAGAGAAGCAAGAGAGAAGAGCGTAAAAGTTGTCAGATACCAAGAAACTGGCAGCATGTTATAAAGTCCTTGCCCCCTCCCCTTTAAAACTGGTTTTCATACCATGAGATGCTGTTACCAGGCCTATTTAAAAAAAATAATAATAATGTTGCTATCTGATAAGTGGTGTCGGCTGCCCAGAGGACCGGGAACACAGCTTCCTGGGAGCTGAGGCCGTGACGCACGGTGAGTATCACTTACGCCCAGCCTGACTGGGCGACGCAGCGACGGGTGAGCGAGGGGGGCCCAAAGCTGCCGTGCCAGTCACTTACTTACCATGTCCGTGCCCAGGTCAATGCAGAGGATGGTGACAGTCCCCAGGGGTAGTGGAATGTTTGCAATAATAAATATCAGGAAGGGGGTGATCTCTGGAATGTTACTGGTCAGGGTGTAGGCAATGGATTTCTTCAAGTTATCAAAGATCAGACGACCTGGGAAAAGCAAGAGGTTGGTTCTGTTTTGGCTTTTTACTATAGAGCTTAAAGAGATGGGCAGTACCGGGATGAGTTTCTGGTGAACACTTTAAACATAGTGCTCGCTCACCTTCTTCTACTCCAGTTACAATTGACGCAAAGTTGTCATCCAGAAGAATCATGTCTGCAGCTTGCTTAGACACGTCGGAGCCAGCAATCCCCATAGCAACCCCAATGTCTGCCTTCTTCAAGGCTGGAGAGTCGTTCACACCATCGCCAGTTACAGCTACGATAGCCCCCTGCCAGAAGAAGGGAGTGGGTCTGTTAAGAGCCACACGGTCCAGGGCAGGAGGCACACGGGGCACACGCCTCAACTTGCCTCTCCTCGCTACAGACCCTGCCCCTTTCCTAGACTCTCAGCGGGCGCAGAACTGGCTCAGCCAAGAAGCCACCCAGCCACAAGCTGACCACAGATTGAGGAGTGATGACAAATGTATCCCCTCCCCTTACTAACAAGAGCTCCTCAAAGCCAGGACTTCGGTGAGTGTACCTCTGGAAAACCGATTCCTTTAAGGTCTTTTCGAGGTATGGGATGAGAGTCTCCTGGCTACTCACATCCCCCGTGTAGACATGAGGAGCCTGGACTGCTATTCCAAGCCAAGTGTGGAGCCTCAGACTCTGGGCCACGGTGAAGATGCGTGTGGTCCACTGTGTAGCTCTGCTGAGCCGTTATCCGGTTCCCCTTTTCTCTGGAGCCATGCCTGGAGCTTTTTACCAGCACACAGGCAGTGAGTCTAAGAGATGTCGGGCTGTGGTTCCGGCCCTGGAGCTGCGACCACAGAGGTCAGCAGTGCCCGAAAGAGCCAGCCCTGGCTGCCCGCTAACCTGTCTCTGGCAGCCTTCCACGATGATAAGCTTCTGCTGAGGAGAGGTCCTGGCAAACACGATCTCCGTGTGGTACTTCAGAATGTCATCCAGCTGCTCAGCGGTCATGTCCTTCAGGTCACTTCCATGTACCACGCAGGCCTTGGCATCTCTAGGATCAGGGTGGGAAGAAAGATCCCCCATTGCTTCCCCTGCATGATGCTCCTCACCAAGGGGGGAGGGGATGTTCAACTATGCAGAACGCTTTGTACAGCAGCCCACGGCCAGAGGGGATCTTCCCCATCACGTAAGAGCTGTTATCTGGGCAGGGGTCCACAGGTTACAAAGCATGTTCATACATATTAGATCTGGTTCAAGACGCACAACCACCTGCGGGGCAGCCTGCCTTCACCTTCCTTTCCCGATCTTTACAGAGGACACACTGAAATGGTATAACCAAGTTCTAGACAGTAGATCAAACCCTCTCATAGCCCCAAGCTGGGTGAGGGGGCCCCATACTTTAACAACACACCAGCACGATACTGCTTTGTCTCTGTTACCTTCTGTACTTTACTGCCCAAATTCCTTTCTGGCCTGAACTACCTGGACAAGTTAGTGTGGCCCTGGAAACAGACTTGGTGCTAGGTGTTAGGTCATATGCTCTGTGATTAATACCATGAAATCAGAGGCTCGAGTGCAGAGTATACCGTATGATGAAGCTTCAGCTTCCCTGCTCTGCAAAGTGGGACTAACACCTGTCTTCGTAGGTTACCGCTTAAGTGCTGAGAATATGTAAGCACCACCTAAGTGTTAGCTATAATGACTTGCTCTCACTGAAAGCCTCTCCTGGAAGGACCAGATTGCCTTCTGGAACTGTAGGGGCCTTCCCTATTCAGAGCAAGCCTAGAAGCAAACCATCATGCAACCAAGCTGATGATTCCCAACAACCACCATTTGTACATTTAAGGTAGACCAGGCTGAGCTTCCTGCCTTACCTGGGGTTCACCTGGCTCACTGGGATGTTGAGGCGGGCAGCGATGTCTTCCACAGTCTCGTTGCCTTCTGAGATGATGCCCACACCTTTGGCAATGGCTTTGGCTGTGATTGGATGGTCTCCAGTGACCATGATGACCTGCAATAAGAAACAGGGCAATACTGAATGCAGCTGCCTAAGTAGGCAAGAATAAATATTAAGGATGCTTCATCTTGGACTATCAAAAGGACGGGAATGCAAACCTAAAACTCATAAACATTAACCAAAAATACAAACATACACCTGTTTATGGAAAACACAAAGCAACATCCAGATCTTATCTTGGCATATGATCATATAAGATACGTAACATCTGTTTTTCCTTTTACATAGTCATGTAAGAAAACTCAAATTTACTAAAACCGGCAAAAAAAAAAAAAAAAAGGTAAAAATGTGATGCTGATCGGACTACAGGGCAAAGGTGCCACACATGGCTGGTCAGCATCCCCAAAGTGGCCCAATTTGGGAGAGAGCATAAATATGTAAAAAGAATTCAAAACCTTGTTACTGCTTTTCTGACCCGATGATTATATTCAGAAGACCACACTTAAGAATATAGTCAAAGTGTCTGGGGAATCATTTTTACAAAGCTTTTCGGGGTGGTATTACCAACGAGCACGAGAGAGTGGAAACAAATCTGACAGCCAGCACCAAGGCAGGCTAAACAAACCGCCCCGTTATCAGTGCACTTGAAAAATGTTCCGTGACTTAAAAAGACAGATACAGAGGACACCAAACATTCATTAAAAACCCAGTTAACTGAAAACAGAGAAGACCAGCTATTCCCAGCATGAAGTAGATCAACTGAGAATGTATTTCAAATGTAAAACCTTACACCAAGTCTTTTTGCTCTTTTCAGTGATTTTTAAGCTTCCATTTCTTTCCCCCCAAATCTGTTTTTTCTTTTGAATCTCTCATCTGCTGTGTACACCAACATCTTAATACCATTTGGCCTTTTCTGGTGGTAACCAAAGCTTTGGAGATAAGAAACTCATCCTCCTGGTGAGAAAACTGAGCTGGCCCCATGTGGCTGCCGTGGGGCCACGTGACTAAGCACCCCCACGTGACTCCCATGGGGCCACGTGACTAAGCAGGGTGCCCCGAGGCACACTGCAAACCTACCTTAATACCAGCGCTGCGACACTTGCCCACGGCATCAGGGACGGCGGCCCGCGGAGGGTCAATCATGGAGATAAGCCCCACAAAGCAGAGGTTTTCAACAGGGAAATTCACCTCATCCGTGTCAAACTGGAACCCTTCAGGAAACTGTTCGTCGGGCAGAAAGAGGTGGCAGAAACCTGCGAGGGGGGGTGGTGGTGGGGGGGTGGTCTGTGAGGACCTCACCGATGGAGGTGGCCCAGGAAAGAAGCCACTGGTCATTCAGACGGCCTCCCTCTGGCTCCAGGTTGAGTTTGGAATATTGTTTCAAGGTCTAGTTTTAAAACCATGAGGTTTTATTTAACATGTACAGATGCTATGGGGTCAGAAAAACCATGCAGATGACAAGAGTCCATCACCAAGCCTTAAAGGAAGCGCCCCGTCCAGCATGGAGAAGACAGAATGAGGACAGGACTTCTGAGCACTGGGGCTTCAGGGTTCGCGACCTGCCCACTCAGGTGCTTAGAGTTGGCAAATCACATAATTATTTGTCTCTGCTTCTTTCCTTAGAAAAATTGAGCCCCCATCTCTGCTCACTCTTCATCTAACCAAAATACATGACTGCCCACCAGTGAGGGCCAGCCTGCAAGCTATTTTGAGGGTAAGTACAAAGCAGACACGTTCTGCCCAAGGCGCTTATCACATAGTATCATTACTACAGGATCATGACATTCCAGGGGTTGTTGCAAGGTGGTATGAAGGTTACAATGTTCCTTAAAGTGGCAGGAGGTGGCTTGTGGGTTCATGGAAGAGAGAATGCTTCTACTTTGGGCCCGGAGACATGGGGAAACGACACTTGACCGTTGATTTTTCAGTCGAGAGAGACATGAGAGAGTCACCTCAAATCAGATGAGGGAGCGGGTATAAACCAGAGCATGGGCCCGGGCAATCAGTTCTGAGTTACTCAGCTAAGCGGAACAGGAAGAATTACACCAATGATGGCTTTTTATCTGTCTGCCTCCAAAATAGAGCCAAGGCTGCTTTCTCAATTACGTTATACAGTGAGCATCACGTACTTCACATCTGCCCTGGCTGACATACCAAGGACAGGTAGCTCCCTAGATGGCAAGTTTACTGCCAATGTCATTTGTGAGCTGACGCATAACCTCCGGTGTAAATTCACAACTGTTGTGCCAGTCAGGAAATGGTTTTACTCTGGGAATTAATTTTAATTTCATTAAGTTTATAGGTCATAGTCCTAGCAACAAAGGTTTGATAATAAAGCTCTTCCCTATTTTTTTTTTTTCAGGCAAACAGAACTGACCAGCATGAGACCAAAGGTCTAAGTACGAATCAGAAGCAAACCAATAGGATTTTGTTGCTCAGAGGCCCCAACACACCAAACATCTCTCCAGCCCTTCCTATTTTCAAAATAGGGGAACAGATCAAGGAGGAGGAGGAATCCTCTGGAAAGGCTTCAGGGAGGTCAGAACACTGTGCAGATGTGTACCAGACTGACAGCCGTGCTGCTGGCTGTCCACGTACCTAGCACTCGCTCTCCAAGGCCGCCCAGCTCCAGGTAGGCGTTCTGAAAGGCATCCTTCAGCTCCTCATCCAGGGGCTGCTCCTTGCCGTGCAGGAGGATGGAGCTGCAGCGGTCCAAGATCCTTTCTGGGGCACCCTTCATCACCAACAGGTGTCGGGGCTCAGACGTGTTGAGGTTCTTGTGGATGGACAGCTGTAAAGGACGGTGGACATGAACGCCGGTGGCTGCGTGTGGCGGTCGGAGCGGGGAGCACAGCTCGCTCACTACTTAGTATGTGTCAAGACAACCACCAAGGTCTCCTATTTCTGAACTCTCGTGTCCCACGGCTTGCAGCATACTTTGAATGCTACCCAAAAAACCAGCACAGTGATGTCGTTCTAAATCCCTGGCACGTGTTCATACGTAAACCTTTCCTGAAGGCAAACTGGGAACAAAGGGATGGGCACATGCGTGGACACCTCGCCCCGTCGCCGCACCCCCACTCCAAACCGGAAGTAAGAATTCCAGAGGGCCCCAACACTCAAACGACTTAGGATTTTCTATACCTAGTCCAGGGCAAAATCTAAGAGCTTGCATAAAGTTGGGAGAATGCATTTTTTGAAAGCACTTAAGCTTGTAACATTTCAAATGGGAAAACCGCTCTCCTTCTGGCTTCCATTCCTCCCCGCCTGCCCCTCGCCACCACTAGGCCACCTGGTACTTGTTGGTGGAGTTGAAGGGGATCTCCACGATCTTGGCGTATCGCTCTCTCATCTCCTTCACTGAGCCACAACACACCTCGATACATTTCAAGAGCGCGGACTCCGAGGCGTCGCCTGCAACTGCCCGCTGCAAAGCAGGGACAACATCTGTGGGTCAGCCTGAAACGCTTCCCCCGGGCACCACTGAGCACCAGGAAAGTCACCCGGATGTCCTCCGACCTGGTCAGAAGTGGAGGACAGGGCAGGCCAGGGGAAGCAGCACCGTGCAGCGACTGGCCTCCCTCTGCTCAGACACACACCCCAGCCGCCTCCTCCTGTCTGCCCTCCTTCCCCACCCTAATTCCAGCTTTTGGTAGAAGAGGGGCGCCTGAAGGGGTCACCCACCCTTGGGAGGAGCACAACACACTCTTCTAACCTACTTTAGCCTAATTTTTTTTTTTTTAAATCTTCCCCTGTTGCAAAGTCTCAAAGCCAACATTATTCCCAAGGATGTATTTTTGGTTACGAATCTGAAAATACCAAGTAAGAATCCAAATATTTACAGCACCTACAATTTAAAAGAAAATCTCTCGGTTCCCAGGACTGGGGGCAAACTGTGTCAAGGGCAAAATAGAGGGCTTTAAACATAATTGTGCAAAATTATCTGGGCCTGAGTGATGTGAACTGAAAGCTATTATTAGCTCCAACAGTCATATAATCAGCTAACGTTTTAAGTTAAAGCCCACACTTGAGGTAACACATACTTCTCTTTGGTGTGATATACTGGGACACACTAAGAACATTTTCAGCCGTAGCCAACTTTTATATGAGCACCTGAGAACTCTGACTGCTTTAGGACTGCACAGACAGATAGAAAATTAATGCTCGCAAATCCAGTAGCCCTGTTTAATAAGAAAGATGGCTAGGTTTGGGAAGAAATGTGAAATTAGTGGGATCATTTTAAACAAAGACCAGTTATTAAAGCAGAATAGAGCTGCATGCCTTGGGGGGGGGGGGAAGGGCAGTAATAATGCCATTGACACGGCCCCACCCCCTGAAATACTCAGAAATACAGCCCATGCTCCCTTTCTGGTACTTTTCAATGGGGAAAGATCTGATACCTATTGAGTCCTATGCTGAAAGCCTAGAAGATTTCCACTTTGAGGTAAGGAAATACATGAAAGCAGGCATCTCAAGTTTTATCCCAGGATAAACAACATCCTCCTCCAATCAACATTAATTCAATGCCAAGAACACCTCCTTCAAAGGATACAGGGGTCCCATCTTCATAGGAGAAGCCCCCTCAGTTCCATCTAAGTAAGCCTTCTTTCTCTTTGATGGCCCAGTTTCTACTCAGAACCACCCCCGGCAGCCTTGCTGAGAACAAGCGAGCCCAGAGGGCCTCCTCACACACGTCTTCTGCATCCTAAACAACCCCGTGCGGCTATGACCTTTCCGAGACTGTCTCCACCGGGCAGCACAGTGAAACCTCAGTCATTTCACATTTCACATGAATTCCATGAGGCTGAGCTTATTTTTGCATCATTAGTAAGCAAGCGGAGACAAATAAGATAAGAGAAATAGCTGAGCTATTTTAAGAAAATAAATGGCTTAAGGGATTTACTGGAATCTACTGTATCCTAATATGCAAATACGATTATCGAGTCACAAAAGCAGCCCTCACTGTCTGCTAGGTTAGCGGGTTATCATACACTCAGAGTGGCAAAAGCAGGTTTTATGCATTCGGTTTCTCACGGTGAAGATTGCTTCCCACCTCTGGTCAGTTTTTACCGTAGAGTCCCTCTTCTCGAACCTATGCAGACCACAGGGTAACCCTAAGTGCTTTGGGATCCCTAGGCAACACGTCACACGGAGGGTGTCCTACAGGGAGTGGTTCCCTAACAGGACGCAGAGGACACATGGTCTTCAAAGAGAACGCTCGGGTGGTGGTTCTTGTGGGGTACTTAGAACCCCACATGACGGCCTAACAGCTAACAGGAACTCCTGAGCATACCTTAAGGATAGGTAGGTTTTCCTGGTTCGCCTGAAACACCGCCCTATTACAGAGACCCGCAATTCTGGACAGAGAGAGCCAGGTGGCTGAACTCTTGTCAAATGAGACACCTGACGGAGGCAAGAAAAAAAAAGATAGGAAAATAATGCATTTCCTTTATATTAATGTCCCATGAAAAGTGAAACAATACATCTCATTTCCTGACTAATGAAACTAATCAGGTCTGAGGGCAAAATCGAGAGAAATCTAAAACCCATTCCCTTAACTCCTCACCAGATGATAAAAACAAAAACCAAAACCAGCTTTAAAAAAAAAAAAAAAAAAAAAAAAAGGAAGCCCCATGAGCAGGTAAGGCTACAGTGTGGGGTGGGCCCGGGCCTCACCACTCTGATTCTCCGTTGTGTCGGCTTCATGGATTTGATTGTCGAACCACATGTGGGCCACTGTCATCCGGTTCTGAGTCAGAGTTCCAGTTTTATCCGAGCAGATGGTGGACGTGGACCCCAAGGTCTCCACGGCTTCTAAGTTCTTCACTAAGCAGTTTTTCCTTGCCATGCGTTTGGCAGTAAGGGTCAGACATACCTAAAAACCATTGGGAACCAGATTATTTCAATCTCAGCCAGGATGGGGTTCTATACAGACTCCAGCTCCATCCTAGTGTGGAAGATGCTGGTCTAAAATTAAACCTCTCTGGCCATCCTCTGAAGTCTGAACCCTGATGGGAACATGTACAGAGGGCCTTCCCTCCTCCCATAAAGCAAAAGATTAAGAAAAGTGAAAACAGCCAGGATTTACCATATTGTAGTTCTCCTGCTCAGCACCCCCCTCCAATTCTTCTCCTTTGTTACACTACTGTGGAGCATGTGATAAGATCAGATCAAGATTTAGGCCTCTTTAGGCTTTGGGGTTTCTATCTTCCACGTAAAAAAAAAAAAAACACGCCAAGCCTCCTCGCTCCCTAACCCTACCACACGGCTTGGAACAGAAACCGCACACAAGCGCGTGCGATCAACCCTGAGTCCGGGGCGGCCGCTGGGGGGCTGGGGGGTGGGGGGGTGGGAGGCTGGGAGGGTGGGCGGGGGGGCGGAGTCACACGTGCAGGCTGATCTAAGAGCGAGCACTGTCGTCCCCCAGTCCCCCAGTCACTAACCGTGACAGTGGCCAGCAGGCCTTCCGGCACGTTGGCGACAATGATGCCGATAAGAAAGATGACGGCCTCGAGCCAGGTGTACTCCAGGATCAGAGACAGGATGAAGAAGGACACCCCCAGGAACACGGCCACACCCGTGATGATATGGATAAAATGCTCAATTTCGGCAGCGATGGGAGTCTGGCCTCCTTCCAGCCCAGAAGCAAGCGTGGCGATTCTCCCCATCACCGTCCGGTCCCCGGTGTACACGACAATGCCACGAGCCGTACCTTAAGGGGGGGGTCGCACCACGTCTCATCAGAGAAGTCACAGATTTTGCAGTTACCTGGCATGGCTCAAAACGAGACCATACTACACGTTTTCAAGGGCCAGCTCTTTGGTGGGGTAAACACGGTTTTACACCACGGAGACTCTGGTGAAGGGCTTTCTATCCAGGAGCAGGACAGCAGCTCCAGAGGCCATGGCCAGGTGGGCACGGCCAACAGAAGAGGTGTGCTGGAGGTGGGAGGAGAGGACAGACCGACAGCCCGCCCCCAGGCTTCCAGAGCCTTCCTGCCAGCGAGTGAACGGCAGCTGCTGTGCTGGACTATAGTAGATAGATAAGGAGCCAATAAAACCAGGACAGAAATGGTAAGTCTCTGGTTTTGTTGTTGTTAATGCCCAAGATAAACAGCATGTTAAAATGGTCTACCTTCCACACAGTTGGTTGAAAAGAAGGCAATGTTCCTCGTTTCCAGGGGGTTTTCATTTGTGAAGTCTGGAGACCTAGTCTGGGGCTCTGATTCACCAGTGAGTGAGGAGTTGTCCACCTGTCCATGAGACAAGCAAAAGGGCTGTGTGAGCGCACACCGGGCCGCCCTGCGCTCTCCACCTGAGCCCCGGCAGTGGGGGTGGGGGGACCCACTGAACCCACCTTGCAGCCATTGGCAGAGATGATCCTGAGGTCAGCAGGGATTCGGTCTCCTCCTTTCACTTCCACCAGATCCCCGACCACAACTTCCTCTGCATTGATGCTCAGTTTTTCACCATTTCGAATCACAAGGGCTTGCTTGAGGAGCAGAAAACAGTTTATACACCATTCAATCAGAGAAAAGCAGCTGCCAACAAGGACCGGGTAGTGTTCAAACGAGAAGACCAAATTCCAAAGGGATCTCTAATGTGAATTACCCGAGGGCATGACAAGGAGATTATTAATCTATTTACACAAGTTAACAAAAGCTTGTTGGGAGTTACTGTGAGGTGGCCCTCTTGTTCCCATCCACTCGGAAACCTTAGCTTCACACTAGCTCACATCCCCGGAGCTCTCAATGGAGAAAGGCAAAGCAATAGGTACCTGGGGAACCATGTTTTTGAAGGATTCCATGATCTTGGAACTTTTAGCTTCTTGATAGTAGGAGAAACAACCAGTTATGATGACAACAGCTGACAGTACCACCCCAAGATACAGCTGGAAGGAACAAACAAGTTAGAGCCGCAGGCTCACAGTAAGGAGTTGGGAACATTCAGTTAATTTTTGACTGAACAAAAACCAAAGTTTTAACAGGCCAAGGCTTCAGAAATAAATACAGAACTCGCGTCTTCGTATTTATCTTCCGAGAGACTGTGTACAGGAGGGTCACAAATGGGGTCCCAGAGACACTTGGTCACTACACCTTGATAGACTTTTGGAAGTGTTCCACATCAATCAGTTTCTCCCACTTTATTAAAACAAAGATATTTTCAAAACAACTTGTGACTTCTGAAGAGTGGCTACCAGACATTTCTGGATGTGCCTTATGGGCCAACATGAGAAGCTGTGCTCTGCCGTCTGGGTGGCGGCTGGCCCCGGGCCAGGACCTGCAGAGCTGCCTGTTCACCGCGACATGCTGGGTGGACATCCAGCTTGGAAGAGCATCTAGAAGGTGGGAGATGGAGAGAGAAACCCAAAACGAAGAAGGAAGATGGATGGGGCCTTGAAGGCAACAGTTGCTAACACTGCTTTCCCTCGTGTTTACTTTTAAAGACTTATTTGAGAGAGGGAGAGAGAGAATCCCAAGCAGACTCCTGGTTGAGCATGGAGCCCAAGGCAGGGCTCGATCTCAAGACCTTGAGATCATGACCCGAGCGGAAATCAAGAGCTGGACGCTCAACCAACTGAGCCACCCAGGTGCCCCTTTCCCTCCTGTTTAAAACCATCAACTAGGGCTCCTGGGTGGCTCATTTGGTTAAGCGTCTGGCTTTGGTTCAGGTCATGATCCTGGGGTCCTGGGATTGAGCCCCACATTGGGCTCCCTGCTCCTTGGGGAGACTGCTTCTCCTTCTGCCTCTCTCTCTCTCATGAATAAATCTTAAAAAAAAAAAAAATAAAACCATCAGCTAACCAGTGGTAACCAGTGGAAAACAAGTGGGTGGCAAAGACCAGCGGGATACCTTACACATACTTAGTAATCTAAATTAGGAGCTACAGAACTCACGTTATCATTTTGAGGTTCCTCTTCCGTGGCAGCCTGGATGCCGTAAGCTAAGAAACAAAGAATCGCTCCAATCCACAGTAACATCGAGAAACCCCCAAACAGTTGCCGACAGAACTTGACCCATTCGGGAGTGGTGGGAGGCGGGGTGAGAGCATTGGGGCCATCTCGAGCCAGGATCTCAGCAGCTCGAGCAGTTGTTAAGCCCTGAGAAGCAAAGGAATGTAAGTAAGACATACTGCCCCCAGAACATACAAGCGAATATACCCACCTGATAGCTGGAAGGCCCTATTAACGGGTTTAGGCGGAAACAAAATGCCCCAAGCTAGCGAGCCTATAAAACCTGGCACGTTCTGATGAGGACCCTCTCCTGGTCTGGGCACATAGCTGCCCAAACTTTCTGAGGAGCCCACACCAGACTGAAATTCGTTTTAAATCGATGCATGGACAGATCTGAATCCAGTCTAAGTTTAGGTAAGGGACTCAGGCCACATTGCATTTTTACCAAAAAGATAGCAATGTTAACTCATCGATTCAGTTTTGCAAATTAAGAGCTTTGAGTTCTTTTGCATATTGAATCTGTCAGGGAGGAGAAGAAAGAAACCCTCTATAAACATCAAAAAAGGAAGAAAAACTTCTCTGCAGGAATCCAACCTGTGAATGGTTTAATAGCCAAGTTTTCAGTATACAAGTCTATCCTGTGGATGGTAACTCAAAGGACAGTCTGGCTGAGAGGGTTCCCATAGGTGCACATTCCAGCCCACCCCCAGGAACCTGCCAACTTCAAAGAATTAGGGAAAAAAATCCACTGTACTAAAGCCTGGTGCTTCTCTAAATGGGCCTTAAAACCAAGATACATGGATGGCACACAGTAGATACAAGGCTCCCATCACAAGGGAAAAATGTGATTACTTTCATATTATCAAAATACCCGAGGGGGTGCGGGGGGGAGAGACAAAACCAATTTTTGCCCAAAGTATCCGTTAATATGTAGTTCGTATTCACGTTATTTTAAATATTTGAGTTACCTAGGGAGTATGAGGAACAGGGAGAAGAAAGCCAGGCAGTGAAGGGGAAATGAGGACCCGGTTTGGACCCCCCTCAAGTTCCTGATGTAACCCCAGGGCAGAGTACCTGACACCCACCATCTGAGGACTCTCTGCTCGCCAGGGAGAGTCCGGTGCTTTACAGGAGCTACGTGCATTCTCAAGACAACCCTCTTCTAGGTATTACTACAAGGGAGAGCATGTGCTCAGGCCGCCCAACGGGGAGTGTCAGCTCCATCTGACTCAGGCCTCCCCTCGGAGCCCAGGGCATCCATACCAGCAACGCTGCTTACCACTTCTTGAGCATTTATTGAAATAATGGCTACATGTTGGCTGGCACTCACGTCAGTCCCCAGAGTTTTCACTTTTTGCACAGAAGTAACAAACTGCACCCTCACCCGACGGTTTACTTTTATATTGTTTGTGTGGCAAATTTAATACCCAAATCCTCCAGGTAACAAGAATACACAACACATGCTTTACGGAAAGATTTCTTCAAGTGGTGTAAAAAAACAAGTGTCAAATAAATGCTAGACTAATCAAGGTTCTGGAGCAATGGAGCTGGATGGCAAAAGTGCAAAAACTGAAATGTTGAAGATTCAACTCACTGAAATATTCAACTCCATTTCATGAACGTAGAAGAATAAAAGACAAAGATTTATAATCGAAAAGTAAGGGAATGAGCATGGCTATGGAGCCATTCCATTTTAAATCCTCGTGCTTCCCTTATTGGATCTCACCTATTATAAAATGGGGAAAATAACGTCTACTTTCAAAGTGTCAGGGGCCAACAAAATACTAAAGAAGCACCCAAAAGCCCAAGGTTCACATGCGACACCGTCTACTCAGACGGTGCCTGTCATCGTTCTCTTCCTCTGAGGTCTGCGCCACGGGGGAGATGCCCTAGGGAAACAGGATTTGGATTCTGTACAGGTGTGAAATGACAACATACTCGACTCAAGTCTGTTCCATATTTGCGATGAAGTTCGTCAAGGCTAAGTTTATGGTCATCCTAAGGGAAACAAACAGAGAAGAATTAAACACTGTACCATGAAACAAGATGAGGAGAAAGCATAATGTCCCTCGTCGCTAGTACTAACTAGGCTCAGCAAACAGGCTTTCCTTCCGTGCAGAAGGCGGTAGCTGGCTCGGCAACCACCCAGCCCTGTGCTGAGAGTCCCTCCCCGGAGGTTGGTGAAAGCTGTGGGATGAGGCCCCCTTGCCGCCTGCCGGGACTTCAGGAAAGCCCAGCAGGCTCAGAGCTCGAGCGAAACCTTGTTTGCCTTCTCTGATGACCAGCAGGTTCTAGGTAGGCCGTGTCTGTGGAAGCCTCCACAGCTGGAGGGGCTTGAGGCTCCCCTTGTATTTGGTATAATCCAGAAGCAGAGAAAAGTGAAGGCCCCTGATATCAACCACAGTTCCTTCTACGGACCTTTGGTTATTATGCCGGGCGGTGGGGCAGGGGATAACTTTCCCAACCTGCCAACAGCCTGGAAAATGAAAATTTTCCAGACTGATCTCTAGGGTTTGGTAAGGTCTGTAAAAACAACCACAATGACTGTTTTACTTTTAAAATAAAGCAGGTCTCTGACTGAAGGACTGGGGGTGGGGAGGGGAGACTCCAACACCCAACAGATAGGATACAATTAACTTATAAGGAGAACAGAAAGCAACCTGCCTCCTAATACCTACCATAGAAACTTCTTTCTTCAGTTCATCCATATCCCGCTCTTTCTTGGCCTTCTTTTTGTCGCCATGCTCTGAAACGGCTGCAGGTTCATATTTATCACGTCCAACCTACAGGAGAATGTGGGAGAGGTGAGGTTGTGTATTATGAACACACAGGAGATTCTGGAGCAGGGGATGTTAGCAGTTTTTAGGATAGGCAACATTTCGAATAGTCAACAGGACAGCAATCGTGGACATGCATGGGAATGCATGTGCATACACCACAAACTAAACAAAAGCAACGACTATTGCAACTATCATGAGCCCAAGACACGCCATGTGCACCCGAAGGCATTGAGACCAGGGGAGAAGTCACGGCAACCACAGAAGGGTCCCACTAGTCACTTCCATTTGGGGTGAATAGGGAAAGGGTTGTGCTGTCAAAATCTCTATACCGCCACCTTCCATCTTCCCCACGGAGAGAATGAAATCATCTTTACATCAGTAACTGAGAGCAGAGCGCGGATGCCTTTGCATTTTGAACCAGACAAGTCTGAGTTAGACCCCTGCACTCTACCACTTGTCAGCTATGTGTCCTTGGGTAAGTCACGGACTCTTAAAGCTTCAACTTCTTCTTCGCTGGCGTGGAGAGAATAGTTGTGCCTACCTCCATGTAGCGTTTTCTGGGAGAACCAATTACACAAAACCCTTAGGTGCAAATTACTTCTATTATTATGTTTAAATTCTTAGCTTTGCAAAGAAGCCATTAAGGATCAAATTTAAGTATTTTTAGGGCTTACATAAGAACAGTGACCTGTTTCATCTTTTCTTATATAAAAACAGCTAGCCTAAGAATACTTAAAATCATTTAAATAAAAGACAAAAAAAAAGTCCTCTCCCCAGTCTACAGCCTGAAAATAAACCCCTCAAAGGAAAAGTCACTGGAAATGTTTTGACATAAGCAGAGTGTAGGAAAAGCATGTGCATTATCACACAATTCACAGGATCCACCTACACCTCTTGAAAACTGGAACAATTTTTAGAGAAAATGTTGATTCTATAGTTTAAATTTAGATTGTTCCGCATGCCCCGCCCCCCTCCACTGTTGAAAATGCTTGCACTTATCTACACAAAGCCTGAACTTGGTGCTCCAGAGCTTGGTCGGTGGCGAAGAAACCTCTACTCCAGACACCCCCACCGCCCCACAAACTGCCTCCCACAACCACTACCACCTGAGAGGGTCAGGGGAAGGAGAGTAGCATTTTTCTTAAAACGGATGATCTGTAGTGCTATTACTACATTATCTTGTATTGTAGCTCTCCCTTACTCACTTCTAACTTTCAGAAGTACACTGCCAGGTTATTAAAGCAGTTGAGAACCTGTGTCCAGATCAAAATTTTACTGTGCTAAAAATCAGATTTAAAAAAAAAAGGAGATGGGTGTATTTCAGTCACAGCTAAGATGGTTGCAAATAAATACAATATTCAGTTGAATTTGAAAACACCCTCTTAAGACTCTAAAGAGAAATCCTGCCCCAAATGAGCTGGCGTTGCCCACAAGCAGAGACATTTATATTATTCATGTTGTTCAACTCCTGTGGTTACTTCTGCAGTGTTCCTTGACTAACTTCTCCCAACAGAGTGGAGTTCTTTTGTTTCTATCTTATCTGTTAAGAATGAAGCAGGTCTAAAGATAGTCCACATTCTTGAAATTCTCTCCACTGTGGAGCAACCACATTTCTAAGTGCCTCTTTGCATAGAGCCCTTGGTGCTAGTGTTAAAATGGAAAATAATCACACACTGAAAGCAAACACACAAATAAAACAAAAAGGAAGGACAGGGCTTCCACCAGACAAGAACCACAGTCTGAAGTGGGATTTCTTTCACATCTTTAATGGGAAAGCACATCACTTAAAAATCATTTTAAAGGCACTGACTAGGGGATCTCTAGAAGACTATGTGGTCAGTTTGTATTGATTTTTTTAAAATACAGTTCACAATTTCTCTTTTAAGCAAGGTATCATTAATGCAAGTTTAATTTAAAGATATGAAAATCAGATTTAAAAATCTCTCTGCCTCACCACCTATATGCTTTATTCTCAGACTTTCGGTATTTTCCACTCCAAAAAAGGGGGAGAGAATGATAAGAGAGCTAGGCCCTGGACAGGTTCCAAAGTTGTATCCCCATTTACAGAAAAGTATCTTGCCTCCAGCCTCACAGTTATCAGTGGTTAAGTTGGCTGGGAGTTTGATTTCCTTATAGCCCCCACCCTCCTTTCCTCATCAATTCATGCTACGTAAGGCATAGTTTTATATGAGGACATTTGTGAAAGAGACATGGGAAGTATTAACATGTGGAATTTTTTCTCCTTCAAGATTTTAATTTTTTCAATAGGCAATGTTTGTCCAGAAGACCAGATGGCTTTTACAATTCAGTTCTTCCCTACAAGTAAAACTGTGACTTAATATTCACTTACTGTGACAGGAACTAAATATTCCTTAAGTCCCTATAGGTCTCGATCATCAAAAATTCGAAGCAGAAAAAAATTGTGTGTGTGTGTGTGTGTGTGTGTTCGGGGTTGAGGGAGTGTAGGGAGGGATAGGCACTGGGCACACATTTGGGAAAAACAAGAGAAACATGGTTTCCCTTAGAAGTGAGTAAGGGAGAGTTACAATACAAGATAATGTAGTAATAGCACTACAGATCATCCGTTTTAAGATGGGTGAGACAGCATTTTCTTTATTATTTTTTTTAAAAACATTTGGAAAAACAAGAGAAACATGGTTTCCCCAATTGACTACAGGAACCTTCCCATTCCTCTGAGCACTGGGCACACATTCCTACTTCTTCAGTTAGAAAACTTGGATCCCTTCTCCCACACTCACCATGCTCCCTGCAGTGGCGCCCCTTGGACACCCCGAGGTCTCTGAGCTCAAGGTTCCCGTGAGGCCCTTCACTAATGGGACACTGACTGGTGAAAATGATGAAGTAAGTTCGGTTCTGGTTTGTGTGTTTTTTTTTTTTTCCATTGCTAATTTAGGAAGTGGGAGGTCACAAGGAGGGCAGGGGCTTGCCCAGTGTGACACAGCTGAAAATGGGTCATTACTTCATCCTGTGCTTCCCAGGGATTCCATCCTCTCAAAGACACCCTAAGTAAGGAGTTTTGCCACCGTTGGATCTGGGCAGAGGGAAAGGTGCCCAGAGAGATGGGGAGAGAAAACTCTTGACAGGAGAAACCAAGGTTAACACAAGTAATGAGGTTCACTCATTTAAAAACATGGACCAACCCCCGGACCGTGCCCCTTCCTCTCTGTCAGTAATTAACCACCTAAAGGGGGGACCCATTCCCACCACAGTAACAGATGGCCCTAGAGGCAGCGGGGAGCTCGGCATGGTTCAGACTTCTAGAACTGCTGAAGAAGCCTCTGGGGTACTGGGAAGCTCCGATGTCCATGCCCTTCGGACGGGAATGCTGATGTGCTTCAGGTAAGCCCCCAGCCATCCTGGCTGGCTGCGGGACCCTGAACAGTCAGCCGCGGCTGCCTGTCCCTACGATGGCAAAAGCATTTGGTGTGACGACCGGAAGAGTCTAGAAGGCATTCTGATTGTCTGATTCATCAAGGGGCTGCCGTCAAGTCTGAAAACAAAACACCTAAAACCCCACGCCGTTCTTAAAACCCACACACAAGCAAAAGGTTTGGGACTAGCAAGAGGGGCCAGAAGGAGGCTATACCTTCCTTCAAAAGGGGGGAAAAAGGGGGGAGAGGGGCTTTTCCCATCTTCCTGGGATCATGTATTATTAAATCATTCTCAAACACAACTGTGTATGTAAAGGTACTCTGCAAAGCACTGCGCCACGGTTATTACTATAACTGGGTTTTAATTAACATATAAATTACTGCCATTCCTCACTTACTATGAAAACTCCTTTCAACCTTAAAAAAACAACCCATCTGGAGTATTCATCTCATCAGGTAAAACTTAACAGAAAATACCAGAAATGACCAAGCCCAGTTCATTACAGCCTCCAGTTGCGCCTAAATGACTAAGTGGTTTAGTTTACGTGCGAGGAATTTTCTAGCCAGGGATCTGAGGGCCCCGAGACAGCTGAGGTTGAGGGAGGACACGCGCTGTCTTAATACCGCAGCACTCTGCGGCCTGGAGCAGCATTTAGGGCAGTTAAGGAACGAATCGCTTTCTTCTGCAGAGGAGCTGACCCACGGGACCACCATGTCTGCATATTCCTTGTCACTCACCTGAACGTGCAGCAGGCTGGAGAAGGTCATGTAGCAAAGCCAGAGCGATGGGCCCCTTTGTGAGGCCGGCTCACCACCTCCATACTTGGGCTGTAGCCCACCCAGCCAGCAGGCGGGGGGAGGCGGCGCAGAAAGACCAGCTCCAGCTCTAGCCAGCAGGCTCCCTCAGCCCCAAACAAACTAGGCTTAACCTTCCACTCAATCTGCTGGTAAGGAAATTCTTAAGGAGCCTGCCAGCCCACCCTACCTGCAGGGTACACAAAAAATTCTAGAATGTCTACACAATCAATATACTTTAGATTTACTACCTCTTTTGAAAACATTCTTTGTTTTTCCAGTGATTCAAAACAAAACCCAAGCCTGTTTTTTCACTGGGGTTAACGCTACCTCTATCATTAGGCACCCGGGTTATGAAGAGTTAAAACTTTCTGCCTGCTCCTTCCATCCATTGCCCCCCTCACCCCTTTTCTTCTGGTTTTACCAGACCACCCTCTGGCTAGTGCTACTCAAAAGATGTCCTCAGTCTGAGAGACGAAGGATTCCTAACTGGCACCAGTGTTGCAAGGGGACTGAATAAATTCCCAGTTCTCATGGCTCCTCAGTTGGTACCCCGAGGCGTAGGGTACGAAGTAAACCAGCTGGCAGGCTGAAGAGGACAAAGGCAGCCCAAGGCCCCAGACACAGGTCACTTGAACTGAAACAATAAAACAAATATGGCCCCATGGAAACATCATGTGGAAGATAAAAGAAAAACACAAAAGGATAGCGCCCAAAGTGCCCGGGGGCCCTGGCCACGATGACAGCCTGGAAAGATAAATCTGACACCAAGACCCACTGGTCCCCACACCTGACACTCTTCACTATCGGGCCCCCAAACAGTACAAGCCCCAAAGACAAAGCACGAGCCACCAAGAATCACCTCTTTGGATCACTACCAGAAAATACCTAACAGTTGTTACTAAGTAGAGTTTGGATAAAACCAGATACAGAGATAATTACTGTTCAGATACGATTCATTGTAGAGTCACAAAGGAACTAAGGAATGAGGTGTACTGATCCCAATTCCCACGGCTCCGAATGCAAATGAAACCCGAGAGAAAAACTGCAGGGTGGGTGGGTGGGTAGGTGGGTGGATGGGGGCTCTATTCTCACCAATAGAATTTGCTAACCAAACATCAGTCAAATAAATGTGAAGAACTTCTTGTGGATTCCTGACAACAGATTTCAGCACAACTAATGAGGTGAGTCATATGCAAAGAACGGTCTCTCTGAGATTCCAGCCAAAGAATACACTTCCTCTCATACACTCAATTCATAGCAATGTGAGAAAGTTCAAACCTGACTTGGTTACGTTTCCTTTTCCAAAAATATAGATACGAAGGAGAAGGTAAAAAAAAAAAAAAGAAAAAGAAAAAAGCCAGTGGGCTTTCGAATTCTCTTTACTTCCCATTATTGCTCACTGGCCATGTATTTTCAGAGCAACCCAGAACTGGACAGCTCTGGCAGGCATGGGGAGACATTCTGCCCAGCGTCATGCGGTCCAAACGCAGCCACTCTGATTACCGTGAGCCCATCTGATCTGACACTCGCGTTTCTTCTTCTGGCCTGCTGGCTGGCAGAGAGCCCTGGGCAGCTAGAAGACACGGCGGCACGAATGTTCACACTCCCTCCCATCACACAGCGCTGAAAAGCAACCCCCCCCAACTCCTTTTTTTTTTTTTTTCGGTAAGACTTGTACAAAGACTTAAAAGTCAAGTCCCTTGCTTGAAAAGTGAAAGCAGACGAAAACTCTAAGATGCCATTAAATTAGGAGGTCAGCAATGTCAAGGGGGATACTTCCACTTGGCTTTCCTTTGGAGGGTAATTAATAGTAGTTCCTATTATTTTCAATCCTTAATATGTTTCTCAGGTGAAAGAAAAATTCTTCTCTGGTTTTGAAGGGCTTAGGACTAACTGATGAACAGGAAACCTATAGTTGATAAAGATCGGATCTTCCCTCAGCACCAAATCCTTGGTCAGCCTGACCACAGCTGTGGTGTTTGCTTGCACCGCACTCACTTTGGACAGAACAGAGAGGACTTCATTTGGTCCTCGGGGCCCGTAGTCTACCTAAGGGCCAGCTGAAAACCTGAAGCTTCAGGGCTTGAAACAATTTTTTTTTTTTTTTACCTTTTTGTTTTTAAATGAACAAACTAATTTTATTTACTGTTGCATACAAAATCCTTCAAATAGTTAAAGCCTTTTTCTCATTCTTAAGTTTGGATATCTTTAAGACAACACAGCCTGATTTGAACAGAAAGTCACTTAACTGTTAACTTGTTGCTAAAATAATCAGGAAACAAGAATGGGATGGAGCATGTTTGGGTACCAAGTCTATTGTGCTTTATAATTCTGAGTTCACCTTTTCTTTTTAAATGCAACTTCGGGGTAACACTTCCAGAGAGCTGTATGTTTTCGGTTTTAGCGCTCACCTGGATGAACATTTACCAAATTTTTAAAAAATCCCCCTGGGGGGTGGGGGTGGGGGAGGGAGGGTTGCAAGGGTTAGCCTCCTCTCAGCCCTCTCAGATTTATGATGCAGACCTCCCCCGCCTTCCCTACCCTCCCACCCAAAGGTGAGTCACTAGAGTGTTACAAACTTACTGGCGGAGAACACTACAAATTAACAAACAGTAAGTTACCAAAAGAGGATACACCCTCAGAAGAGGGTACAGAAAGAACCCTGAGCAAGGGAACTGTCACACTCACACACTGAACACTTCAGAGACAAAAAGGGTGTGATGCAATCCCGGGCCTCTGGTCTGGCCCCAGTGCAGGTCAACAGTTCCTCCTGTAACAGCTTCACTCGCTCCTGGCCAGGCCCTGGCAACTTTCCACTCTGAGAACCCTGCCTTCCGATGTTTTCAGTCTAAAGTACTAGTTTTATAGCAGCCAGAGGAGATTTAGTCACACTTTCAAGTTGAGCTCCAAAAGGGCAGCTGATAATGTTACCGAACGACCAGGATTTCTGCTGACATGCGTATCCCTTGTGCAACCTTCACCTGAGTCTTCTTCCCCTGCTCCTCTTGAAATCACCACCCGTAAGCCAGGATTTATTTTCTAGGTAACTTAAGTTAATATTCAAACAATGGGGAAGCGCACGGAAGGACCTGGTGACATTTCCCCCCTCCCCCCAGCTCCTGTAAACTTGAGAAAAAGAGCAAGCTTTTTTGTGTACCTTTGGTGAGCTAGTTGTGGGTGGCCGGCCTGGCTGTGGCTGTAAGCCAAGTCACTGGCAACAACACCCAATATGAAAAAAAGGGACAAAATCCTATTTCATCCAGGAATGATTCAGCAGGAGCTGTTCTTTCGTTTTCTTACCACAAGCTTAGGAAACTAGATTTTTAAGGAGAAAGAAAATCACCTGAAATATCATCAAAACCTAGGCCCCCAAGCAGTGGGAAGAAGCAGGGAAGAAATTAACAATGACCTTAAAAATTAGCTGCGAGCACAGGCTTCCTGGTTAACCAATTATCAGCAGGGCTTTAGTCACCACTCCACCCACATTTTAATCCCCATGTGGAAAAATCCCAACATTTCAGCATAAAATATCCTTCTGAACGTTGGACTATCACAGTAAGTCACTGGGGACAAAAGGGGTAACTTTACTCCAGGAGAATCACCACCAACACACATCTCCCCCCTTAATGTTCAATTTACCAGTGTCCCCCCCCCCCCCAAAACGCTAACTGCCACCCAGCAGATAAGCAGCCTATCATCCTGTGAACCAGCTGCAATTCAATTTTGTGTTTGCCAGCCACTGGCTTTTTATTAAGAACCCTAAGACATCCTGGTTGAACCTTCACAACCCAGGTGTGTGATCTTCACCACTGTTGTGCATGGGTTCAGTTATGAAAGACACATACAGATACGTGGATAGAACTCAGTTACTCAAACATCTCTGGGATCCATTAATTTTTAATGTGATTTTTTTTAAATCACAAATACCCCACTTTCATCTGAAGAATAATGCTGGAGTTCTGCATGTAAGGCAATGTCAAGTGAGTGAGTGTTCAGGCTGGGGAGACCACAGGCTGTTCAGGAATCAGGCATGGCTGGTGTGTCACTAACCAACCATTTGACCTTGAACAAGTCACTTCACCTTCCTAGGCCTCGGGTACATATTCCCGATCACTACACCCCCCCCCCCTCCCAAAAGCAGGAATGTCCAGCTCAGGGTATCAACTTTCTTCTCTTTTGAGGGAGGAGAACCAAAGGGGTGCACTTAAAGGGCTTCTTTATGGGAATGACCCAGGGTTTGATAGTGGTACAAGCCCAGGCCACTAACCCACTTTTATATCGTGAGGAGTATACTCAGCTCTTTGCCTTCGGCTCTGGAACCTGGGTCAGCCCTCCACATTCTGTGCTTTTAAAAGATACCAGTCGTGCATGCCACTTCTCCCTACTCTCCCTACCAGGTCCAAGGCTTTCTAATTACCGCCCTCAAAATCCAAAGTTAAGAATCCCCAAAGGACGCTCCCTGCCTCTTCCCCCAGCACTCACGCCACACTGCGGAGCCCTGAAAACCTCCAAAGACCTACTGGATGCCCGCACCGTGCAAGCCCCGGAGATAACTCAGCGGCTGCTCTCCTACCCCGTGTTCTCACGACCTGGTCATTCTCTCCCATGAATTGATACTTTGGGGGGAGGTTATCCCGTATAAACTTTTCTCGACTTGGCTTTGGCTCCGTTGGGGTCTGAGACTCGGTCTTCTGCTGTGCCTACGGGCATTCCCAGCGCTCCGTGCACTCTCCTCCCCTACCCCGGAGACCACCCCGCCCCCCATTCCTTCGGAAACTGCTCTCTCCCGCGGCTCGGCGCTCCTGCCACCGCGTCCTGCCCGCCGCCTGCAGTCCTTTTTCGGGTTTATTGTACCCAGAGGCCCTGGTGAGCCAGCCGGTCCTCCTTCCAGGCTCATCCCTCAAAAAAAACAAAAAACAAAAACACCCCTCCCCACCAGGGAAATGACCACTCCAGCCGCCCCAGGGCGCATCCAGTGTTTAGGGAAAGCGTCCCATTAAAGCTCTCGAAAGTATACCTTAAAGGCCATCTTAGGGCGGTGAAGACACACCCTTTCTGGCACCAGCCAGCACGACCGGCTCCGCAGTGAAGGGAAGCCCGTTGTTTTTTTTCTCTCTCTCTCTCTCTCTTTAGGGGAGGGCGGCCGCCTCTGCGGGGAACTGGCTAAGCCCCAGCGCCTGCGAGTGGGAGCCTCACCCCCTCAGGGCCGCCCCCGCGTCGGAAGCCCCCGCCGGCGCCGGGACCCCGGCCGCGGTGGGAAGGCAGCCCGGGAGGGGCCCCGGCGGCGCGCCCCAGGGGAAGGGGAGGAGCACGCCTTTCCTCTGGGCACGGAGGGCGGAAGGAAAAGGGAAGGCGAGAGATGGGAGGTGAGGGCGGGCGGAGGGAGGGGAGGGGAGCCGGCTTCGGGGATGCCGCGGCGGCCCGCTCCTTCCCGGGGCCGCCCCGCGGCGTCCGCCCTCCTCCTCCTCCCGGCCCCGCGGCTCCCGAGCGCCGCCTCCAGGAGCCCCGGCCCGCAGCGCGCTGGGGCCCGGAGGTCCGCGGCCCGCCCCGCGCTGCCGCCCGCCCCCCGGGCCCCACTGCTGCGCTCCCTGCACTTCCAGAGTGCGTCGTCTTTTAAGCCTGGCCGCCCAGCCTGCCCGTTCCACGCCGCGCCGCTTCCTCCTCCGCCGCCTCCCGCTGGCCGCGGTAAGCCCTCCCGACTTCCTCCTCCTCCTCCCGCCCGGCGCCCCGCGCCCCGCGCCCCGCGCCGGCTCGCCGCACACTCACCCCTTTCCCCATGGTGGCGGAGGTCTGTGCGCGGCGCCGGGTCCTGTCGCTCAAGAATCAGGAAAGAGGAGAGCAGCTCCCGGCCGAACTAGCGCGGCCGGGGGAGCGGAGAGGAGGGAGCTAGGGCTGCCGCGGGGCGGGAGGGAGGGAGACCGGCCGGCGGCTCGAGCCGATGCCGCCGCTGGGGCTGCTACCGCTGCTGCTGCTGCCACGTGTCCGCCTCCTCCCGCCGCTGCTCCGCGCCCCAGACCCCGCCGCAGCTCAAGCCCGCGCCTCCTCCTCACTTCCTAAAATATGCAACCTGCGTGCTTGCCCCGCCCACGCCGCGGCACGTCACCGTTACCGGAGCAACCTGACACCGGCCGCGGGCCTGGCTCCGCCCCCGCCCCAAGCCCCGCCCCAGGGCCCGGGCTGGCCGGCGGCGGCCAGTCGGAGCTCCAGGCAGGAGGGCGCCGCGGCTCGGGGCGCGCGTGCCCAAGTCCCGGGAGGCCGCGGCCGCGCCACTACGGGGCGCGCCGGCTGGCTGGGCCGCGGGGACTCTGCGGCCGTGCGGCTCCCGCGCCCCTCCTCCGCCGCCCTGCGTGACCGGCCTGCTTTGTAGGACACGCGAGGTCCGCAGCGGGTGCTGGCACGCATTCGGAACTGGGCTCCCCGAATCTCCGCCGACCGGGGGCAGAAACCGCGGAGGGGCCTTTCCAGTGTATCTATCGGGGAGCTCCTCTGAGACAGGGACGCGCCGGGGTGGGGGTGGGGGGTAGGGTGTGATTGCAGCCCGCGCCCGCCTGAGGGACTCCGCCTCCCTGCGCCGTCCCAGCCCCGCGCCCACCTGCAGATGGCCTCCCCAGTCTCTCGGTGCCCTCCCAGATGCCTCCTCTGCTGTGGGACCCGCGTGATCCACTTCCCGCTCGGCCCCAGGAAGAATGGGTCTGGGCTGGCCTTGCAAAAGGTCCCAAGCGCCCTCCCCCTACTTCTCTTCAGGACCCCAGTGACCACTCAAAGGGCTTCCAATGAATTTATTCACGCTACTGTGTGAAAGAAACCCGCTTGCCGGGTTTGGGGAGTCGCTTTTTAGGGAAGAAACAAGCCTAAAGGAATGCCTGTCTTTAGCAAAAGGGGCTGACTTGATGGGGAGATGTCCGAGGACCTGTCTGGAGGCTCTTCGTGCCTCCCACCCGGCAGGGGCAGCGCCCCTGCTTGTGCGGCCTTGGATGCCGTGAGGGACTCTGGGCCTGGTGTGTGATGATAAGCCCAGGAACCTCCAGAGAGCCCGGGCCTGGCTGTGCTGTGGGACTTCCCTCCCATTAGAGCTTCTTAGTAGCAGCTGCTGTGGTTGAAGGCCTCCAGCATTTAGAAAGCAAAGTATTATTATTAACAATACTTTCAGGAAGTCAGATATACTCTGGGAAAGCACAAGATTTGCAGGAGAAAGTAGGCGTCTCTGGGAATTCCTAGAAGAAACAAGGAATATACTAACTTCCTAATCAAGTTAAAGCTGACCCTGTGAACCCTAGGTATTAATTTAACATGAACAAATAAAGATACGAAACTTGAAAGAAATAGGGGAGGAAGGAAGGGAAAAAGGAAAAACTAGCGACTGTATTATCAGTTCCAACAATAGGGTAGTTTTTATTACTTCTTAAAAGATACTGTTTCTTACAGGAGTCTCTTCCTCTTGCCCAAGAATGCATTGTTAAAGCCTGGCGCCTCTTCTAGCGATCTTCAGGCTTGGTGACATCATTCCAGACCATGAAAAGCAGAGGAATTTGTAACCTGGATTCAAATTCAAGACTGCTGGGGAAAGAGCCCTCAAGTCCAGAACAGAGTTCCCTATACTGCTAATCCAAAGACAGTTACAGAGTGTTATCAGGGCTCTGCTTCAGGGGTCTAGAAAATGGTTCATTCACGAGCCCTTATAGCCTCCATGACTGCTAACCCCTAGAAAGCCTTTGCTTGCTAAACATCTCTTAAGTTGTTTAAGATTAATCATCCCTTGGGCCCTGGTCTGAATGGAAAAAGTGCAGCAAGAACAGCAACAAAATGTAGAAGGGAAAAGTCTGAACAATGTAGATTTTTCCTGCCAGCTGATCTCCTTTTTCTCCCTTCCTAAGTAAAATTATCTTTTTTTTTTTCATTGAAGAATATAACCTCGATAGACCAACGCATTTCCCTTTGTCTCTAGAGCTGTTTATTTGGCCGCTGGAAGATTGCTGAAGGTCCTTCCAGGAGGACCTCAAAGTTCTAGCTGTATTCCAGCATGGGGGAAAAGGGCATAAAAACATGAGAAATGTTAACTAAAATCTGTATGTTGCCTTGCCTTTGCAAAGCACTTTTCCCAATAAAAGCCCCTTGGATCCTCACAAGTCTGGAGGGTAAAGGGTTTTAGCTGCATTTTACAGAGTGGGAAACTGGAGCCCCAGGGACTTCCTTCTCACAAAGCCATTCAGTTAGTGTCTGGGGGAGTCTGGCTCAAAATTGCAGAATGGGAGCCATTCTCCTACTTCTAAAGTTTGGTCTCTGAGCATAGCACCAAGGAAGTTCTAGTGGGGGAAGATCAATTGCTTCTCTTCTATGGTCTGCTGCACAGCGTCTAAGGCAGAGAGCCATTATTTTGTAGAAATGCCCTACGTAGATCAACACACACTCCCTCTACCCCCCCCCACCCCATTCTGACCCACCCCATCCCACCGCCAGAGGCAAATCCCAATCCATTTTCAGGGTATTTGATAGTGTGTCATTTTCCATTGCAGTCTTGTTGAAAGAAACATAATTCAACGAAAAAATTTCAGAGTATAAGGAAGGGCTTCACTATTACCCCTCTAAAGTTGATGCTTTCTCTCAACAACATCCCCCAAGTGCTATGGTCTAGGCACTTCTGGGCAGTCTGCAGGGGTGTTTTTAGGAGTAAAGGTTATTGCCAGGAGTTGATGGCTAATTTTAAGAGGTGAAAGGAAAAAGGAAGCAAGAGTGGCAAATGCCTAATGAGAAAGAGTGATGGAAAGAATACCTGCCTGGTTGTAATACGGAGCTCTGGATGGGCCTTTGGAATCAAGACAAAGGGATGGCATGGTGGGACAGATGTCTCAGATTTGAGAGAGGTACCTTAAAACATAGGTGACTAAAGGGGGAAAGGCCCTTTTCCTCTTCCTCTTGGGAGAGGGTTCTGAATGGAACCTTAGGGATCAAACACTCTCCTCATTTTTTAATGAAGAACCCGAGGCCCAGGGAGCAATTGACGCTGGAGAGTCCCAGGAGATCGGCTGAGTTTTATGTACCTTTTCAAACTCCCAGAGCCATGCAGGGGATAAAGAATACTTCCACAAGAGAGGGCGGGGCAAGTTCTGCCTCTCTATTCTATCTGCCTCTTGTCCTATCGGGTCTTTTTAAGCTCCTAGCTCAGGACACATTAAACTGATTGGCCCAGACTCAGCATTCACAGACCCAAGGCTGCCAAGTGTGCATGGCCTCGAGCAGGATTTGACAGAACCATGGAGGCTTGGCCCAGCCATTGTGAACCGTCAGCAGATGTATGAAAAATATGATGCAAGTCAGTATTTTGAGCCAAGAATGCTAGCGCTTTGAACAAGCACTTGCTGAATTGAATAAACACACCATTGCAATTAAGGGCTTTAGAACATGAGTTGGAGCCTACACCAAGTTAGCATTTTCCATAGGGAGCAAAAATTGGGGGAGATCAATGAGCCAGGGATCTGGAAGGACAAGGTTCTTTGGCCCAGCTTGTGCCAGAGCCGTTGTGGACACAATCGTAAGCGTGTGTCTTTATCGTTCACTATGTCCTAGGTCCCCCAGAAAACCACCTAGCTACCACTGTCGGTCACTGCACTAAAGCCAACCCTCCTCACTGTCCCAAAGTTCCTCCTAGACCGTGTCTATCCCACCATTGCAAATCCACTTTCCCCTGTCCAGCAGCAGACAGATTACCTCCTGCTTTTAAAGCCCGGTTCTGGACACACCACCACCATCCGCAATCTGTCAGTTAAAGAAATCTGACCCCACCCCCACCCCCGCAACTTTTCCTCCCAGCCTCCGTTTTCTGCTCATCTCTTCATTTCCTTTTAAGGCTCTTTAGTACTCTCTTTTTTTTTTTTTTTTTTTTAAGATTTTATTTATTTATTTGAGAGAGAGAGAATGAGAGACAGAGAGCATGAGAGGGGGAGGATCAGAGGGAGAAGCAGACTCCCTGCCGAGCAGGGAGCCCGATGCGGGACTCGATCCCGGGACTCCAGGATCATGACCTGAGCCGAAGGCAGTCGCTCAACCAACTGAGCCACCCAGGCGCCCCTCTTTAGTACTCTCTTGAACAGATTTTCTTCTGTTAATGATTTTTGAAGCCCTCAAGTTTTGCTTCTGGAAATTCAGAAAAGTCAGCATTTCCTTGGTGCTTGTCCTGGGGGTTATGATCAACCGCACAGCGTCAACTCCTCAGTCTCCCCCTCAGCCTCCCTTTCCTAAGACTGCCCCTTACATCAGTCGTTCTTCTGAAGCAGTCTTTGTAAGTCAGATGCTAGCTGTTTGCCATGGCTTTGACACAGAATCCTGAAATTCGGAGCCGGGATGTGCTCTTCTCCTCCATCCACTCCCCACACCCATCTATCCCCTCATTCCAATTCAGACCCTATCGAATGTCACAATATCCTGACAAAATCAAAGGCCACTGGGGCATTGCAAACAAAAATGGCAACAGCGAAAGGATCTAGAGCGGAAAATATTCTATTGCCTGAGACTCATCTGCAGTCCGACAGCAGGGACGTGGAGTCCGGCAGGCTCACAGCCCAGTGTGGGCAAGCCCGCCCCAGAAGAGGCAGCAGGAGAGAACTGCTATGTGACCCATCTTGTTCTCAGGAGAATACAGTCATGAGCACTAAGGAAATGAGCGCTACCATTGGGGTGGATCGATTTGCTATTCCTGGCCTTTAAATCTTCCATGGAAAAACATTTGTGGAAGATGGTTCTACGGAGAACAACCCTCTTCCATAGATGCTTTGGCACAAGAGCTGGGTTTCAGGGACCGTGCAGATTTTCCTCACAGTAGAGTGAAAAGGAAAGAAGACAAAACCATCGAAAAGTGGTTTGGTTCATTTACAAAGACTCCCAGAGTTTTTCTACAGCAGTAGAAAGTAACCAAAAAGTAGGTCAGGTACAAAAATAGTAACCAGCTCAATTCATTTTTAACAGCTTAGGTTTTACTCTAGAGGCTGCCATTTTGGTTGATGGGTGACCTCCACGTGTGGACTCCTACAGATAAGCCCCTAAGG